GATGGATCTGCTCATAATGACTAGGTTGCCTTTCCTTATCTTTCAGGCTACCCTTGTCTCAAAATTCACAGCTTTGTGTTTGGCTCCATGTTTTAATTCAAAAGCAGGATTCTCCCTAATTAATATAAAGGACCTCTTCAGAATTACATTGTTCTTTGCTTCATATTCATAATTCTTTCTTTGGATAGAGTTGTCACATCTGGAAATTCACCACAACTTTTTAGAGTGAATTTCAGTTACCCATTCACAAGTCAGATAAGAGCGAAAGGAACCAAGGATTATTAAGCATACCTATATATCCAGCCTGATAGCATGGCACCTTTGCATATGTTCTTCCTGGGTAATAAGTTCTTTCTGTTTTCTCCCTACATCACCATCTGTGTTTTGTTTATTGATGTTTCCCAGCTGTTATCAAATGATCTGAGATATAGTACAAGATATGCTGGTTTGATGCCAGTCCCTTACATAACAGTAATGAGTGCTTGTGTAATCTATGGAGTGTGTTTGCAATAAAGAGGTTGGGAAAGAGGTGGATTACATCGAGTGCACCTGCACAATGCTATGGCAGTTTGCCCATCTGTTTGAAGTACCTTCCACCTGGCAAAAAAGTTTATAACATCCTGGATCAGTGCTTATGTAACTAGGAGAGGATTAAGCTAGAATCAAAATCTTGGTTTCCACTGGAACCACACTGCCAAAACAAATATAATCTTGGGCGTGCAAGTAGATACTGAGGATATAAGGCATTTACTGTATACCTCATATCTGTAATTCCAGTTTTTGTGTTCTCTTTTGGGTTATATGGACTCAGGTTGGACTCATGCTGTAATACTGCATGACAGAAAACATATTTTCAAGGTTCCAGTGTATTTCACATTCAGATACTGCTTTCGAACAATTTCCAGCACTACAAATAAAAAGATATTGTAAAACTACTCCATTTCATTTACTTATTTATTTTATATGGTTGTCTATCTCAAACAATGATGCTAGGTGGCTCAGAACAATCCAAAACAGGAATAAACAAAAAACCCAATCTTACCACCAGCGCTTAACAGATGTAGTGCACTGAAAAAGCAACAAAAACAAAGTGAGAGTTGCAAACAGATGATGGCATTGCCTGGACTGAATGTGTTATGTCAGGGATGTCAAACTCATTTCATTGAGGGCCACATCAGGGTTGTGTTTGGCCTTGTGGGGAGGAGGCAGGGGGGCGTGGCCAGCTCAATGTCACTGTGGTGGCCCGAGCACTCTGCCAGTGGAAATGAAAACATTTTCACTGGCAGAGGGCTGCAGGAGAGAGTTGCAGTTGAAAATGAAGCTGCGGCCCTCCCGAGCTCTGTTTTTGCTGGCAGAGGCACCGTGGGCCAGTCCTTCACTCTTTCCAGGGTGGCCCTGTGGGCCAGATTTAAACACCCTGCAGGCCAGATCTGGCCCATGGGCCTTGAGTTTGACACCCTGTGTTATGTGCAAGTTAGTGTGACGGTACCATGCTATATCCCATCTGAGTTGAATGAATTCACAATAGAAGCTCCTCCAACCCCCACCCCCAACAAATGGATTACCACCATTCCCCAAGCAGACAGGATATGTAAACTAAAACAAGGATAAGAACGTTTTCTGAGTCACTGACCAACTTTACAATCTGGGAGAGATTTACAATCAGAGAGCCTATTATGGTGCTCTCTGAAAATGGCTGCCATAGATGGAGTTGCACATTCACTATAAGGCTGCTATGTAAAATATTTTAAGATATTGATTTCATAAAAAGCATAAGTAGAGAACTGGATTCCCCACTACACTATACCACAGCACACCCTCTAACCACCTGATGATGCTATCCATTATTACAGGGTACCCCTCTCAGGTGGACATGTTTCCAGACCAAACATGTATTTCCGAACTGCAGGCATTTATAAAGTTTAATTGCTAACGTGTGTGGGATCCATGTAAAGCCCAGTAGCATTATCGAAAATAATCTACACTGGTGTTTTGCTTTGCAGTGGGCTGGCTTCTCATATTTTAAAGGAAAAGAATTTAGTAAATAAAACCAAATAAGGTGAGGCAAAGAACCTGCTGGGCAACAAATGAACAAAGGTGTAACTGAAATTTACAGCGTAGTTCAACAAAGAGATTAAAGAAAAAGATTCAGTCATGTAAGATTTCTGCAATGCATTATGGACCAGCTACCATAAATAACTGTCATTTTAATACACATACATCCCATACTTGTTCCATTTTGTTTGCCTCTTTCATTTCACTTTGCTTCCATCAGTGCTAGTTTCCTAGAAGGTGTGAGTAAATTATTACCTAGTAGGAAGCTGCCAGAAACCACAGAGTGGAAGAGGGGATGGAAGAATACAAAAGGACTGACGGTAGGAAAGTAAATACACAGAAGAGAATCAGTGGAAAACTGGTTGATTACATCCATACATTCCTACAGGATCAAGCCTTGATGCACTTAATTTTTCAGAAAATATAATAATAGTAATAGTAGCCATAATGTTGGATTTTTAAAAATGCTTAAATGCATTTTCAGTGATTCCAAATTAATCTCAATATTCAATTAAATTGACACCCCAAGTATTATGCATTCTTTGCTCACCATTAGGGAAGGCAACTGAAACAGTGCAATTCTACTTAGAATTACTAAAATACACACAGGAATGCATTTTTAATTTTTACATGCGAGTCTCTCAAGGGCTAATTCAATTCAAAATAAAATCACAGAAAGTATCTCAAGAATTATAGTCTTTGGATACCTGCCAGTATTTCATTACTCTGTTTCATTTGGGCTCACTTGATTCCTATTCCAAAAGATGAATGCAAGTTGCTTAGTGATGCTAAGTGATACATCACTTAGAGCAAGGGTGCCAAACTTGATCACGTCATTAAAATTGTGGTTGTAAGAGGGTTTCCATTACAGGACTGAAACATACATAGAGGAAGACATATCTTCAATCTGTGGTATGTCCACACATACTTTGTTGACTACATTTGCACTATTCAGGTGACCCTGAGGACACATAAACCTCCAAGTGTGTCAATGACTCTAAAAGGATGCACATGATCAGCTGTCTGTAAGAAATATAAATCCTCCCATTCCCCACTATCCAGTCAGAGCTGAAAAAGCTTCTGGGATGAGAAGTGAAACGTCTTCAAAGAAAAACCAGGAAGTCCCGTTGTCTCTTGAAAAAAACACCTTTGGGACAACCGTGACCTCTGACTGAGAATTGCCATAGACCTGAAAATGACTCAATGACACATAATCAGCCATTCCAGATTGCATCCTCCTTTTATGTTTGACAAACTTTTACTGATTTTTAAAATACGTTATCCCTCTTTGCAGCAATATAGTGTCTAAGGCCATATAAAACTTTGGACATTAGAGGAGCAAAAATTCCAATATAAATGCAGATGCAGACTTGTGAAACAAGGAGGGGTAGAAGGTGTAGGGGTTTGCAATACAGTAGTTCATGGATCACCAGATAGTTCCTATAGATTCCCGAGGGTTTCTGCTCCGTTATGGTGGTGTTTTAAAAACCAAATAGCATTCTAAATAAAGATCCTTTGACCCCTGTGAACGGGGAGGGGAGGGGGAAAACCCGAACTGGATGCTTTGAAAGATACTCCTCAGATGCTGGAGGAGGCACCTGCTTGCTGCTTTGCTGTGTTTGTGGACTGCGCGCGCCTGTTGTCCTCCTGGGGCTCTAGCAAAAACCGAAGCGGTTGAAGTCGGCCGACGGGACGGAGCGAAAGGTCCCTTCGGGGCAGCCAGAGGCGGTAAGGCAGCCCTGGGTGAAATATTACCTGAGCCGCTGGCCTGGATCGGCGGCTCTGCTCCTACTCGCGCTTTCTTCCCTCTGGCCGGGTGCCGGAGTTAACTCGGGTAAGGCGGCGTCCTCGGCTGAACTCAGTTCGGCGAGGGCGTCTCTCATGCGCTGGGGAGGCGCCTATGGCAGATGCGAATTGTCGCTGCGGCCCCTCTTGTCCAGACTGCGGAGCGGACGTCCTCCAGCCAAGCGAGGTGACGCCGCCGGGGCGGAAGGGAGACGCGGGCCTGGCCGCAGCAGCCTTTGGGTGGGCTTCTCTCGGGGGCCAAAAGCAGGTTGATTGAGCCAAAAGTCTCGTGGTTTTTATTTTGCTTACAAGTTTGTATTGGGGGGGAGGGTGGTATTAGTTTCAAATATCGCCTCCATTAGGGCACCGCAAAGTGATGCGTTAGACTTGTCTGTGGCTCTCCTGTTCGAGCCCAGCTCTTCCTGCTCCAGAGACTCTCAGCCTTGGGAGGGGAGGGTTCTACTCCGTCTCTCGGTTACTCGAAGGACCCGTAGTTACGAACAATGACACGTTCGTGTAAGGAGATCGTGCAGGATATAGGTCGCTCCTGTTGAGAACTGGGTCAACAAATCCCTCCCTGCGCTTAATTACAGAGAAGACTTTCCCAAGGGCGAGCGGCGTTGCTCTGCTCCTTTGTTCGTATGTTTGTGATCGCCTTCCTCTTTGCCCCATTTCATTCTGTCCACCCGCCGCCCTCTTTTCCTCCCGGTGTCCCTTCGCCGCCTCCCTGCCTTGTACGGAAGCGCCCACTAACCCGTTACTAGCTCTAGGGAGAACGCAAGGGAAAACACTCCCCCCCCCCACCCCCTTTTCACCATAAGGCCTGCCCGCTCCTTCGGGTTTCTCCTCAGCGATCTGCCGAGGGAACAAAGAAAGAGAAGCACCATCTTCCCCACCCCCCAGCTCCCGACCTGGACATGCATTTCTGGATCTCTTTCCATTCAAGGCTTGGAATCCCCTATCTTATTAGGGACGGGAGGTGCCTCTGAGCATGTGCAGAACATGCTTCCCTTGGACTTTTGAATGGCTAAGCAAAGTTTTCTCCCATCTGTCACTTGGAATAAGAGGATTTTGCAGAATTGGAAGATAAACTGGATGTGAACAAGTTTGAACTTACCTGGTTATTTACTTCTTTTTTAAAAAAATTAAGGGATGAAGTATATGATTTAAACAATGTCAAATTATTTTAATAATATGAATGTTGATATGCTTATATAGTATGCTTATATAGTACTTTGATATGCACATGTGTGTGGAATATTGTAACAACAAACTGCCCAAGTGATGATATAAAGCCAGGAAGGGGGAGGGAAGGCAAATGCACAAAAATCTGCAAATTACATGTCACATAGATTACAAATAATTTATCAGTTAATAATTGTAATATGTTAACAGCCCATTGTGTTTGTTGAAACCTGAGATTGCCTGAAATTTTTTGATGAATTGAATGAGAAGTTCCTAAATTAACTTTAAAATCTTACATTAGTCTAGCGCTCTAGCCACTCTAAGTATCTGAAAAAGGTACTACCAGGCTTCTGATATTTTTTCTTGTCATCATAAACTAATACAGTTGTTCTTGTACAATATCCACAAGTGGTGATAAGAGTGTAAATGTTAAGAAATACTACAGAAACAGTGTATGGTTTAATGCGGTAGTGTTGTGCATATAAAATCCCCCGGATTGATCGAAAACATATATTTTTTGTGGAGTTCACTTAACTAGATGCAGTTCTACCTACTCAAACCTCTATTGGAAGCCAACACTCTGTAGCCACTCCATTTGTTCTCAATGGAAGATCTACCTTGGAGGAGACAGAAGTATGCTGTATTTCTCTGAAATTATTCTGAAACATTGGACCTAGTGCAGAACTTGACTCTTTAAGTACAGAGCATGTACAGAATCCATGCTGCTCCTATGGTTATAGATGTTGTTAGAGCAGATGTTAGAAAAGATCTTTGGGTAATCCAGTAGAAGTATTTCATATTCCTCGTTTTCCTAAATGATAGATAGGTCATCCTTTTAGAGCTGAACATATTGTTGGCTCTACAATATATGTTTTCAGAATAAGACATAGCTATCTTAAAACGTTGCTTCAAGAGTCGCAACTCAGGTAGCCTGATAATGAAGGCTCCCCCCCTTTTTTCCTCCCTAAGGCTCAAAAATGCCTCTCTTAACAGATTTCCATCTAGTCAGGTTACTGGTCTCAGCCATACCCTGCAGAAATTGCTGCCTATGACCCAGATTCCACTGGGGTGAGGTAAGTGTAAGTCAACGAACAGTTCATGAAGAATCAATGTTCACAAGAGGACTATGAAGTTCTCCTCCTATCATGTACTCATTAGGCCTTTTCCCTCTTGCACCCAACCATGACCCAAATGTGCCCCACCAATTACTATTTCCTCATGATGTCACCTTCATCTCATTCCAAACCCATACTTACGGCAGGTCAAATTTGTTTTTGGCTGCTCTTGTTTTAAAGTAGCATTTCCCTTTCTAAGCTGACCAGATGTATTTTGGCTGTGGGTGAAAACTACTTCAAGTATTTGCTTGGGATCACAATAAATTTGCCTTGAGGAAATGGGATCAGGTTACTGTACTGTCTTCTTTAAGTTAATGCAGGCCCTTCTGCTTTGAGAACCAGGTGCTGTTTTCTAAGGCCATTCTGCTCTGAGCAATAGGACAGTCCAATTCTTGCACATATGGCTCTCTCCCAGTATTCACCTGGTCCCTAAACTGACCCCCCTCAGCATGAGAACAATGCTGGGGAATCCATAAGTTGCAAACCTTCCTGAAGCAGACTAGAGGTAGCCAGTGGTAGCAGTGGTTTTTCTGTTTGTGTTAGTACTTTTTCAGTAAAAGAACTGGTAAATATTACTGTAATTCAGCCGTGATGAAACCCCCCCCTCCTTTGGTTAACAATTTATAGCATCATCTAGCCATTGCAGATTTGTCTACATTAGCATGTAATCACCATAGCAATCATTGAATGAAGCTATAAATCACTTGCATGGATAGCTATATGTGGAGCATCTTGCAGCCCATCATAGCTATAAATGTACGCTCTCTAGATCTGCCAGTTCAAGGCCTTGTGGTTAAGTATTTCAACTCTGCCAAGTGAAACAGCCCATGAGAGAAGTAAATAACATTAGGGATGGCGGTGGGAGGGCAAAGTTGTGGCTTTTCTGGTGATTTTGTTAACTGAATTGAGTTTTTGCCCAGGTTCCTTTGATAGGATAGCATGTCTAGACCTGTCCTTGGCCAGGATGTTCCAGATGAACTGGGTAATAGGGGAGCTGTGGCTGGGAGAGGTGGTAGCATGTCCTAGTTACAACAGAGCCTGGAATGCAGAATAAGGAAAAAAACTGTTTTACTCTTTTCTAAAAGCCAGGAGAAGGGCTGAAGATAAACATTTCTACTTGCTGTTGGAACCTGGGCTGATTGTAAACAGTAGAATCCATAGTGACATTGTTCCCTGTTTTTGTCACTTATTTTTCTAGTGTGGTTTATATATACTGTATCTCAAGTGCCACTGTGGTGTGCAGTGCTGAAGAACCCATCCTTTATTCATGAATTAAATTTTATTTATCTGATCATAGCTTTAATGTGATGTTGCACAATAATTGTATTACAGCTATTGTATGAATTTTGTTTTTGTTTCTTATTGAAGAATCCTTTCTTTTTTTAAAAAAAAAAATCCCCACCATGGATAGCTTAAAAAAAAATCACATTGTCAGTAGGTAGCCTTCAGCCAATCAAATGTATTTTGCATAGTGTATATCCGTGATGGTGAACCTATGGCATGTGTGCCACAGGTGGCACGCAGAGCCCTCTCTGTGGGCACACGAGCCGTCGCCCCAGCTCGGCTCCACTGTGCATATGTGCGCACCTCCTGCCTACACCAGCTGATTTTTGGGTTTCTGCCGTGCATGCGTAGGACAAATGCGGGAGACACGCGCATGTGGGGGGGGGGGGGGGGGGGGCAGGGGGGGGCGCGCGCACATGCGTGGGGGGGGGGGGTGTGTACGGGGGGGTCGCATGCATTGCATTATGGGTTATAACTAGGCCCAAAACCGGGTGCCAGGAGGTCCAGCGCCCCCCTGCAGCCCATTTTTGCTCCTGCTAGGCCCAAAACAGGGCATGGGGGTCACGTGGGGGTCACGTGCACATGCACAGGGGGGAGTGCGGAGGTTACGCATGCATGCGCAGGGGGCGGGGAACGCATGGGGGCCCACGCATTGCATTATGGGTGCGGGCGCTTTCGGCATGTGACAACAAAAAGGTTAGCCATCACTGATGTATATTGTAGAAGATAAAATTATTTGAATTTATAACAAAATAAAATGTAAGTATTTAAGGCAAGTGTATGCATTGCTACCCTGTTTCCCCAAAAATAAGCCCAATCAGGCTTTTGAGCGCATGGCAATAAGGCCAAGCGCTTATTTCAGGGTTCAAAAAAATATAAGTCAGGGTCTTATTTTCAGGGAAACACAATAGTCAATTACTCTGATAAATGGTTTTAGAGCGTTATCCTACTTCTACAAAGTCCAACTTTTGCTTTCATAGAGGGTCACAAGGAATACCATTACTTGCACTATTTTGATCTTTGTAGATACAGTATAGACACATCATAGCAACTGAATATTTTTTCCAAGGCCTTCATGGCTGCTCTACCAAAAGCAACTTGTTATATATTTCTTGGCTGATTTGCTCCAATTTTAAAATTATACCCATCTTCTTTCAATCCAGCTTGAAGTCAGTGTTGGCTATGAAGAACTAATTGGAGTAGCAGAAATGGATAGGTTGTTCCACTGCTTCATTTTGGTTTCTTAAGACATACAGTCCAACTACATTTTCCTTAATATTTCCAAGCTTGCCATTCCAGTCCCCAATTCCCAATCACAAGCAGCACAACTTGCCAGCAGCCTTGTCAATTTCAAATTTAACTTGATCAACCTCCTCTTCTTTTGTATCAGTGATCACAAATTTGTATCAAGAGCACAAATGTGGATGATCGTCACATTAAAAGGTTGTTCACAAAAATTTAATAAATATTATTCAATCACTGCCTACCAGTATATTGTAGCCAAGTACTGTTCTTGCTGTGCCCTTCCTAACTAGAAAAGCAACTCCAGTCCTTCATTGTTTTTCACATTCTAAGTAATAAGCAGTGTGATCTTCTGATTAAAGTGTCTAATCCTGGCCCATTTCAATTCTCTGATGCCCAACATGTTAATATATGTAATTTTATTTCATATTTCGGTTTTCATCTGTTAATGCTTCTTGCATTCCATGTTCCTACTGTAATCCTGTTTTTTGCAGCTTTGGATTTTCTTTTCCAAAGAAAAGAAGGCAAGATCAGCAATTAGATATCCCAAAGATTTTAATCTAGTCAATTTCATAAATACTGTATCATTAGTACTCCAAAAATCCTCAGCTGTTAAGTGCCATCTGACTTGAAGGGTCCATTATTCAGCACTGTGCCATCAAATGTTTAATATTTTCTGTCTGTATGGTTTTCTTGGTAAAAGTGCAAGTGGTTGACCATTGCCTTCTCCCACACAGCATGAACTGATGCTTTCTCTGTGGTCACTGAAGTGATCATTCGCCTCCAGCTTTTTCCTGTATCACTGGTACTCAGTTTAGGTGTCTGCTTTACCTGTATAGCTGGGGTAACCTTCATGCCTTGGGTGGGAATATATACCCTAGGCATATATTGACATTCTCATCCCTCCCAGGAGCCTCCCTCCCGAACCTTCCCATGAGACAGCACAGTGGTAGTGCCCATCTGTAGATGAGTCATAAATAGTATGTTATCTCATTAGATGACTATTTTGAGGATAAATGAATATGCAGTTAAAAGCATCTGAGGAATGACTAATAAACGTTAACATTTTAAAGATTGTCTCTCTGCCTTCTAGATATATGGAGACATAGCAATCTTCTAGAAACCTCATATTTTGCTGTGATTCTGTGTGCAGTTAATTTAATGTGGCTAATAGGAATGTATGTTATGGGACTGCATCTTTCTGTAGTGAGTAGTGATATCAAACCTTATCAAAGCAGCCACCAGAGAACCACAAATAGTTAGGGTTTTCTAAATCTCCTCTATTAAGTGGTCTTACCACTGAGGCCTTGAAGCTGTGGGAGCATCCATATACCCAAGATTCAGAACTATAAAGATCTCTAACCACTTGGCCACTAAACAGCAGGCTGAGTATATGCATGTCCTTCTCTTTGACCTTGCTAGCCCTCCCCAAGTGGGTACACTGAGGAAATACAGCTGTAACATGCTCTGATTTGCTTTCCTTCTTTCCATCTTGCAGACTTTGGGGAGATGGATCTGCCTTTGGAGGAACCTCCAACCCAGCCTCCATCAGAACCACTATCAGCACCTCCAAATTCTATGCCAGTGTGTGAGCTCCAGACTGCTGTGTCTTGTTTTGCAGAGGAGACTGTTTCATTCCTCTCTGTCAATAGCTTGTTAAGCCAGTCCCTGCTCAGGGCAGCTGGCAGCCTGGGGGCACAGCAGAAAGAGCAAGGGGTGCCGTCAGCCATGGCCCGGCGCAAGCGTGAATTCACTCCAGATGCGAAGAAGGATGATGGCTACTGGGACAAGAGGAAGAAGAACAATGAAGCAGCCAAACGCTCTCGAGAGAAACGGCGGGTCAGTGATTTAGCCCTGGAGGGACGAGTTTTGGCCCTGCTGGAGGAAAATGCCCGCCTGAAGGCAGAACTCCTAGCCCTCAAGTTTCGCTTTGGCTTGATCCGGGATCCAGTAGAAGCTCCTCAACCAGCACTTACACTGGCCAGTGAACTCCATCGGTCAGCCACTCTACCCCAGCACTTCCCAGTGGCTCCTGAACTACCCCGCTACCCTTGCACCTTCCACTCAGAGCCAGCTACCAGCTCTGAGGACTCTGGCTTTTCCACCCCAGGAAGCTCCAACCTGGGAAGTCCTGTCTTTTTCGAGGAACGTGACAGGTCAGAGGAAGGAATTATGTATGAGAGGCATTGCCTAGTACCCGATGCTTCAGCTGATGGAGCTGATCTAGGCCGTGTTGGCCGTTACGACTCTGGGGAGAGCATCAAAGGTCTTCCCCACAAGTTGCGCTTCAAAATGGCAGTAGGGTCAGAGGAGATAGCTGGAGAACAATCTGGACATTGCCCACCTTCTCCACCAGGAGGAACATGGAGGGGGCTGGTGACACGAAAAGAGCAGCCAAGCTCAGGGTGTTCTGTAGGTACCCTGGCAGTTGAGAGTAATTGTGAAACAGAAGTCTCCGGGGGCCCTCAAGAACCTGAGTACCAGGCAGAGAACCGTTCCCTACAATGTCAGCTGGCCTCACTTTCAGCTGAAGTAGCCCAGCTGAAAAAACTGTTCTCTGAACAAATCCTCATCAAGATGAATTGAAGTGGGGGGACAAAGATGGAAGAGGGTCACTTTTCTTTCCTTCTTTCTTAGGGCTACCAAATATTGGCTGCAAAAATTGAATTACCACTAGATGGTAGGAAAGAGCTAACTTTTTATCCATTCCTTTCCTGCCATATGAAGTAGTCAACAATTGTGCAGCCCAAATCTTGTATCCTTACCAGATTTTTCCTCCTTACCCCATCTTCCAGTGCTTCATATATTTACATTTGCATACATTTAGCCCTGGGAGTTTACTTTTGTTGTAAAGATTTGTATTAAGGAAAGCCCCTCCACCTTTTAACTGTGTGCTCTTTCTTGCTCTTTCCACATTCTACATTGATTTCTGGTACATGTAGTTAAGGGAGGCTATCTAGAATGGGAATGCTTGGTTCAGTTTTGGTGGGGTGAATGGGGCACAGCTACTGCTGGCATCCTGGAGAGAAAGACTGGTGCAGCTCTGCAGTTTGTTGGCCTTTGGGAACTGTCCTGTTTGTTATACCTAAGAAAGATGACACTAATCCAGATGAGCTTCAGTTAGGTAAATCTGTCCTTAAAAAGCAGGCATTGCCTGGATCAGGCCAAGGCTTCAGCAGCTACCCAGATGCATTTTGGATGCTAGAAATGTGGATCTGAGGGCAAAAGCTCTTCCTCATTGATCTGTATATGTTGTGCATGGTCCATAAGACGAGTAATAGTTTGATCAGGGCTATGTTAAATGGACTGCAAAACTCTGAATGACCAGTGGGTGGCAGCAGAGAACCATTTACTGATGGCCTTGAATTTTGTATCCTACATCTGGTTTGTTTATTAGTGTCAGAAGTGTCACCATTAAAATAAGGCATACTATACAACATAAAATATAAAATATAAAATACAAGATCAAAGTATGTACAATTTAAATAGTTCTTGCCCAGAAACTAGTAACATTCGTTTTGTCATGCTGCCATGAGGTCCTCAATTGTGCATTGATCAGGATACTAAGGACAGATATACAAATGTGTTGCTGTCTGCATGTCATCACAGTTGCGAAGGAGCCTTCCCAAAGAATGTGTGTCCCTGGGCAACATCTTATAGCTGGCTAATCCTCTCAATCCAGAAGCATCTGAAAGGTAGTGGTGAGGTGCTAGACCTGGTAACCTTAAGTACAATTTTCCATGACGCTAGGTATGTACTATATTCCTTTAAGAGTTACATTAGTGGCTATTGTGATCTGGACTTCTGGGAAATAATCATTAGAAAATTGTTTCTGAGCCCAAGTAGATTTCAGGCTGCCTTATGTAGCTTCTTTCTCCCCATTTGGTTTGTCTAGGTAGACACTTGAAGTAGATCATGATGAACATTCAGGTAGTCCTCAATTTATAACCATTTGTTTAGCGACTGTTTGAAGTTACAACAGTACCACTGGTCCTCGCACTTACAACAGTTGCAGCATCTCCCAATCATGTCATCAAAATTCAGGCACCCTTAGCAACCGGCATCTGATAAGAAAAATCAATGGGAGATGCCAGATTTGGATAACAAATGTGTGATTCACTTAACAACTTCAGTAATTCAATTCACTTATTAATCATGACAAAAAAATTGTAAAATTGTGCATAACTGACTTAACAACCACCTTGCTTAGCAATGGAAATTCTAGTCTAAGAATGGCTGTAAATCAAGAACTACCTCTACATCAGCTGTAAAGATGGGTGAACCCAGAAAAATTAGCAAATTGGTTTAGAACAAAGTCTCTGGATTTCTCATTACTTTTCCCAGTACTTTAGATGTGCCTGGAAACTGACTCTGAGGTTTGAGACTGTGCTAAAAGTACTCTGCACATGCTCCAACATGTTCTTTATTCATATTTTATCTGTTTCAGTGTGAAAATTTGACATTGCAAGTATTCGTTGAAGAACTGTTATCTGATTAGTCATCTGTTTTTGAAGTTTGTTGTTTCAGTGATTTAATAAACGCTTGAATTACTGTATCCTCAACATGTATTCCTTTTTGAGATATGAGTACCATACTGTGCTTTAGTAAATATTTTCAGTTGTCAGCACAGTGCTAACATTTTTCTAACTTTCCCATCACTTCCTCCATCATTTTTCTCCTACAGAATAATCTTGAATGGTGAAAAGATGAATGAAACCCTAATAGCTTCTGACTGTAGTACTAGAAATCTTCTGTCTGGAAGAATGAAAAATATGCCTTCATATAATTTATTGTGATGATGCCTCTGTTTAAAATCCTATTTTAGATTTTACCATAATGGAAAGAGGCAAGTCTCCCTCCCACCCAATTTCATCTGGAAAGTGTATAGGTCTATCACACACAGAGACACAATTAAATGTGTCCACTGGCAACACTGTAATGCAGCATATAACAAATCATCAAGCTGTATGACCTACTTTCTGTTCTATGAAGAGGCACCCATTATTTCTGAAATATAGTCTACAAATCCAACTAAGCCTTCTACAACTAGGTTTTTTTCTGCAAGATTAAAATGTAGTTCCCATATTAGCGAGGGATCGTAGGAATTGAAGTCTTCTGGACTGAAGACTAGTCTTAACTGCTTAAAATGAGCCTTCTATCATTTTGTACAGAGCTGTAATCTGAAATCAGATCTCTCTTTTTCTTATTGCATAATTTTTGCAGAGGTGAAAGAACCAGAATTGTTTGCTTTCCCATGAAAATTACTACATATAGAAAGACAAACTTATGCAATAAAGTTTGAATGTCTGTATCCTAGCTATAAAAACTAGAAGCAACTTCTTAATTTAAATTTACTTTCACTGTTTGGAGTAAAATATTTCTTTGGAAGGATAAGATCTATTGCTTATTAATAATAGACATGAGAATTTTGATAGTTTTCAAAAACTTTCCTGAAGTGGGCGTCAGAATATGCCCACTTGGTTGCTTCTTTCACTGACTTCTTACCCACCCATTGGGAACAGAATCAACCATATATGCCTCCCAGGATGCAATAATCTCCAGATGTGCAAGTCCAAGCATGATGGGCATTGTGGTCTGAAACTTCTGGAGATTTTGGGGCCAGAAAGCCTGCATGCCGTTTGGCTTATTTTTGTGCATACTTCTTCCATTTTTTCAGTCGTGTCCACTTGAAGTTAATTTTGCACTGTCCTGTTATAACCCGGGAAATACCAGGCCCCCTGTATTACACAGCCATAATAAAGAAGAGTGTCTGCAGGACAGGGTAAAAAAAGTCAAGAAGCCATGACAATGTGATGGAAGCTCTGGTTTTTTATGATTGATTTTGATCACACCATTGTGGTTTTCATCTTGACTTTTTTGCTATAGAAAAAAAATTAAACATGATTCAAATATAATAGATAAAACCACAAACAAAATGTTGTACCAGGTGCCACTTGTTTCGATGATCCTCGTTTCTGTAACCAATTGCAATAAAGCCATTGCCTTACACCTTCAACACATAACTTGAGAGGTGTATGTATAAATAAAGTAAAAATAAAGTTAAACTTTCTGCTGATGTGGAAGAAGAAAACAGAGGACTACAAAGCAATTTTTAATGTAGTGGCTTCTGACAATAAATATGCTGTCCAAGCTGTGAGAGTTTAAAATTTCAGGAGCACTTTGTTCCTGGAAGCAAAGGAGTTACTCCAGTATTTTTCATGTTTTAGCATGCTGGCTGGGGAATTCTGGGAATTGAATCCCACACATCTTAAAGTTGCCAAAATTGAGAAACATTGACACACTCATTGCAGAATCATTTAAAAGGAACCAGATTGATTTGACTTGACTCTTTTGCCTTAACTATTGGCTGTTCCCCTCTCAGTTACACTTACTGTCTCTGTACCTTTTCAGACTTCCTTTTGCATTCTTTGCTCCCAAAGTCTGTATTGTACCAGCTTGACTTGTGCCAAGGTCAGGGCTGCCTCATGGAATCATGGCAGAGCTGCCCTTAGGACTAGGCAGGTGATGGATAAGGAGGAGAAGGAAGCAGTGAAGAGGTGATGGAGGATACAGCTACCTGGAGCCCACCTTGCCAAAGCTTCCAATTTATCCAACAGTTCCAGGAGCAAAAGTCCTCCAACCAGCCCAAATCCTGAGATTGCAGTTAGCTGAGGTTGCTGACTCCTCTCTATTGACTTTTGCTTTGGTTCTCACCAAAGGAGAGTGAGCAAGCAGTTTTTTCCATGAAGGGCATGATGGGTGGGGCTGAAAGAAGCCATGCACAGAGCCAGAGGCAAAAGTGGGTGGAGAGATCCGCCCAATCTCTCTCAAAATCTGTTTACTGACATTAAATAATAGGAATATAGATGCAGAAAACTATTGACTTTTTCCTGGCCTCCTGTGGTCATCCAGATTTTTGTAGCCCAGATCTGGTGGTCCTATGTTTAGCATAGCTAAACAGATCCCCTGCCTGAGGGTAGTAGTGGTGGAAGGCAAAAATTAAGCCAAGGGCCAGATGATATTAGTCAAAAGTCCATTGATTCTCCATCCTTGCTGCTTTATCATGTTAAATCCATAGTGGAAATCTACAGTATGTGTTTTCCCATATGTCCCCGCCCTTAATCCTCTTTTTTTCTCATGGCAGTCATGTTTTCAATTTTACTAAAAGCCAGAAAGGAAGTAGATTGTTCCTGAACGGTAGATAAGACCAGCATATCTCCAGAGTAGGCTGGGGAGCCTTGTAAGGAGGAGAGAGGGTCAGCAGAGAGACATTGGGAAAGTACTAAATGGGGACTACCCACCATGGTGCAGGATGGTGTGAGATGCAGCCAAGGGCACTCACCCAAAGATGGGACTGGATGAGGCCACCCAGCTGGTCAAGGATGTGTTTTTCCAAAGCAAATCTTCCACATACCTGGTATTTATTTAATCTAATTTCTTTGCGTGGAAGGATGGAGCCCATTTGGATAGAAAATAGCAATTCGCCCTTGTAAAAATCCATGGGAAAATGGAATAAGTATCTTGCAGAAATAATTTTACCCAAGTGGTTAGTAAGCACAATGTTGGCGGCTGTTTTTGTTCTTCCACCCAATGATTACCATGATTCACCAGCATGGCAAGCTTTGCCTCAGTTTCTTCCATGGCCTGAACTCCATGGTTAGTTGGACTGAAATAACAGATTCTAAAGATGATAAAAGGTGAATTGTTTCCATTATGCTATTTTACTACTGTGGGGGACATTTGTTGGATATTCTGAACCCCAACACCAAGGTATGCTCCATTTTAGCAACCATTTTGTTCTGCAGAATCCAATATTTTTCCTTGGATGGCGGATTAAAGATTTCTTGACAGATGACAAGTTTGTGGACACACTGGCCTGGGGTGCATTTTGATGTATTTGTCTAGCCCAACAACAATTTCAGGAGTCTTTTCTTAAAATGATTTGTATATTGATAAACCTAATACACAAAAGGCATTCTCTTAGTCCAGTGGTTCTCAACCTTCCTAATGCCGTGACCCTTTAATACAGTTCCTCATGTTGTGGTGACCCCCAACCATAAAATTATTCCTAAGACCATTGAAAATATGTGTTTTCTATAGGTCTTAGGCGACCCCTGTGAAAGGGTCGTTTGGCCCCCAAAGGGGTTGCGGCCCACAGGTTGAGAACCACTGTCTTAGTCATATGCATGGTAACGGAAATCATATATGTAAGAGTCTCTATATATGCAGTGAGTTCCATTCACTCAAATGCCATTCACTATAGGAGTGGGATTTCATCATCAGTCAGTTAGAACTAAAAAAAATTTGTTGGATGAGAAGCAAAATGTTTTCAAAGGAAAAAAAAACCCAAGAAAGTCCAGTTGCGTTTTGGAAAAAGAATCTTTGGGACAACCATGACCCAAATATCTGAGAATAAATTGCATAGGATTTTGCTATTTAGGATTTTGTTGTTAATTTACCCTGTTCCACATTATGATCTTTGCCTGTAGCCCAGAACATTTCTGCAAAGGACTCATGAGGTGCCTTGAAAATGAAATTTTTATTTTTTGTTTTCAACTCACAAAAACTTTTGGAAATGCAGTTCTGCATTAACATTTCTAAATACTTTTATTTAGAATAACTATTTCTAAATAGTTGTGCCCCATTTTACAACCTTTTTTGCTACAGTTATTAAGCGCATTACTACAGTTGTTACTGTAAATGACTCATACAGTTCTTAAACGGATCTGGCTTCCCCCATTGACTTTGCTTGTTGTAAGCCAGCTGGAAAGTTTATAAATGGGGATTACAGGACCTTGTGATATTGCAACTGTCATAAATACATGCCAGTTGCCAAGTACCCAAACGTTCATCACATATAACCATGAGGCTGCAATAGTTCACTCATACGAGTGAAAACCTGTCATAAGTCACTTTTTCAATGCCACTGTAATTTTGAACAGTCACTAAATGAATGGCTGTAAGTTAAGGACTATCTGTACACATTGATAAACACATGTTATCCCACCTCTAAATAGCATGACTGTCAAAAACTGAATTCCAACCACTGCAGATGAAACGTACATGATGCAACACACACATTATGAAAAATGTGACCATTATGTGCACAGAACATATTCCACACAGCGGTGACCTCACTATCTGACCCCTAGTTACCATGGTACAAATACTATGTTGAAACTGGAATCCTGGTGAGAATGCGGAGAAGTCAGAACATAGTAAGATTTGGAGCACTGATGTGCTTGTCTGAAAGTCTTGGGGTTCCTACAATAAATGAGTAACAATTGTGGGAAGTGTTGGGCCAGGAGATGGTGGCAGAAAATGGGACAGTAATTGCCCCCCCATTTGAGATCATATTAAATTATAAGGATATACCAATGCCAAGTCACTAATTTATAAAGTGTTAAATGACCTGAGTGAGAATGTATTCATTTACACCTCAATTTTTAAAGAGTGACCATGTGGCCTGAGCTTATTTCTTGGTGCTTATTTAAGGCAGATGAAGCGGACCAAGTTCTCGCTTTCATGTTGTCTACCATATTGTAGAGATGCCCTGGCTTGTGAGCAGAGCCGTGCCTGACTTTAGTCTCTTCTCCTTCCTTGCATGGCTCAGTATTCAGCCCAAAGCAGCACAGAAAATGTTGTCCAATCCTCTCCTGCAAAACAGGACTTCTGGAGCTCAGAAATATATTACTGCTCACTCACAACCCTGGGAGAGAAGTTGACCCACTCACAGGATTGCTCCTAATTGCCATTTTTTACTTTTCTCCCATGAGGGTCATCAGCTCTACCATCTCCCCAATTACATACCTGGAAAGCATGAGTAAAATAATGCCCTTAACAAACAGGAAGTTTCAGGGGCAGGAGAGAGGAAGCTGCCAATCCACTGAAGCCACAACTTTGTTGTCAAGGGAAACCTTTGTTCCTCCTCCTTCATGACCACTTTAAAGGTTCCTAAGTTGGGTTTGGATGAGTAGTAGGTTTTTACTGACCACAAAGTTTTGCTAATTGACTTGTCTGGTATATTTATTTATTTATTAATTAAATTTTTATGCCGCCCATCTCACCTATAAGGTGTCCCTGGGCAGCTTACAAGTTATAATATTGATCTGTGTCCTGTTTTAATTTTTAATACAGTACTAATAATTCTGTTTGTTCTTAGGTTATTTTACAGCTTCACATAAATTAAGTAGTTTTGGAAGGATTATTTATATCGAAATGTAATTTTTAAAAATATCAGACAAGATAGGTTTTATTTATTTAGATTTTTAAAAATCCTACCTTTATTATTTTTATAAATAACCCAAGGTGCCAAACATACATATTACTCTTTCTTCCATCTACTTTTTGCACAACAACAACCCTGTGAGATGATCTGAATTTAGAGATAGTGACTGTCCTAAAGTCACCCAGCCAGTTTGCACTAGAATTCACAATCTCCTGATTTCTAGACTGGTATCTTAACCACTAGACCTACAAATATAGAGCTTTATAAGAACAACAAATGTTCTTAATATGTTCTATTAAGTCAATCAGATATGGCTAAGTACTATGTCCTATGAACTACAAACTCTGCTCAGTTAAAATAATTTCTAGAATTCCCATTAATGAGCAATCTCAGTTTCCATTAAACTGTATCAGAATGGTATATAGAGCCCACCTTCCCTTAAGCTCTTAGAACAGAGAGAGATATTAAGTTAATGTTCCCTGTATGGGATTTTGCATGATTTACACACACACACACACACACACACAAAGAGGGAGAGGGAGGGAGGGAGGGAGGAAGACAGACAGACACACGAAGGAGGATGATTTTTCTATTGTTACATAGTGTATATACCTTGTAACATCAAATTGTAGGCACACCACAATTTTCATAGCCTGTTTATATCTGTGCATGTCTGCATCTATAATTAAATGTACCTTTGCCAGCACACAACTAATCACAGTCTCTTCATGTTTGGGCATGCCTGCAAGTCTAACTCAATGTTAATTTTTCAGGATAGAGGGAACAGAGGTTCTGAAATTGTGCACGGCGCCTAGAGGAAGCATATGGCTTCTGTAGCAGACAGACTTAGGAGCATTTTCCACCCACCAGCTAAGATTAAAACTCACGATGTAACTCCCCAAAGCTGCAGATGAAGGAAGAGAACATATGAGTGTTTTTGTCACATCACCTCCTTTGCCTCTAGCTTCACTAGCTCTCCAACAAAGCCCCCAGTACTCTATTCCAGAGTTTCTAAACTTTGGCCGCTTGAAGGAGTGTGAACTTCAATTCCCAGAATTCCTCAGCCAGCATGGCTAGCTAGAGGATTCTGGAAGTTGAAGTCCACACATCTACCAGCTATCAAGTTTGAAAAACACTGCTCTATTCTATTTTTCCTGTTACCAGGAGGAGGCTAATTGTACGTGACACATGTGTACAGTGTTGTGCCCATTTTGAGTAGGGTCAAAGGTCATGGAAATTCTGAGACGTTTTTCCTGAGTTTAAAACAGGGAAGAGAGAAAGTGCTCAAGTTAAATGCTTTTCTTGACTTATTTAATGCAGTGCATTAATGCAATGTCTCTCTTCCCTTTCCAAAAGTTCTTACAAAATAATTTGGATCCCTTTGCCTTGGCCATCGCAGCTTTTTCCCAAAAAAGGTGAGAATAGACGCAATGCTTCAGCTTCTGCTTTTCAACATTAGGACTAAACCCTGAAAGCTATGAAGAAGGAGAAGAGGGAGCCCGGGGTATGTTTGTCTTCCCAGCCATTGGGGTATTGGGGTTCAGGTTCAGCTCAGCGCTCTCCCTGCCTGCCCTTCGCTCCTTTTCTTCTTCACTATAACTGGTAGGAAACATCGCCTTGCTTTGGACAGGGGACCTCGCGTTAAGCTATTGTTCTGGCGCAAGTGACGCGTCCGGCCTTCAGCTTCGGCACACGCTGCTGCTCTGGCGAGCCTTGGCACCACGGAGCCCCCGGCCGGGCAGGGAGTCTTTTCCTACAAACAAGCCAGCTCTCTCGCTACACATCAGCAGATCGGGTCAGAAGCCAGACGGGTAACTCGGAAACTCCTTGGAGCAGGAACCCTGCGAGCGGCGCAGCGGTGGCTCGCCTCGGCGCGGACGCGCTTCTTTTCCTCGCGGCTTTGGAGCAAAGCGACCCTCAGCCGCTTCCAGTGTTGAACGCGAGCGGGCGAGGAAAAGAGGGAGCGGCTGGCTGGCTCTGTCTCTTCCCCAGCAGCAGCAGCCGCGACAGCGCCTCCCGCGTGGCTCTTCGCTCGCTCCTCTGGCTTCGGCCCAGCCCCTCTCGTTCGCCCGCTCGTCCGCCTCGCCTCTCCCCGCTCCTCCCCTCGATTTGTTTTGTGCGGCGACTTCGGGAGCGTGACGGAGGCGCTTAGAAGCGCTTATGCAACCGGCTGACCTACTAACACACATTCGCCTGGGGAAAGAAGTAGGGCGGCGGCGGCGGCGGCGGCGGCAGCAAAGCTCGCGAAAGACGCGCGGCGACTCCTTCCCGCCGCTGGAGCGGTGGCCGAGGGGCGCCTGGAAGAGGTGATTTCACGCGAACGCCTTGCGGCGGCTCCTCCCGCCCCCCACCCGCCCTTCCCCCACCTGCAGCCCCCCGGCCTGGAGGGGGGGGTTTCTCCCGGGAGAGGCCGGCTCGTGTTCTCGCGCGCAGGAGTCGTCGGCGGCCGCGGGTGTGCTTTGTTTGCGGACAAGGTACATGGCGGGCAGCGGGCATGTGGCACTCTTGCTCCGCTGGGCTCCTGGTGCCTCCCTTTAGCCCCGTTCAGGCAGGCTCTTTGACTGCGCTCGGCCGAGTCGGGGAAGTTCTGCGCAGTAAATCCGCGCTTGGCAAAGGACGGCGGTGCTGCGCGGCGGAGGGGCCGCGTTTAGGCGTATCTGGGTGGATGAGTGGTGCCGACCTCGTCTCTTGTTGCACAGAACAACATAAACACTCCGGCTCTTTCCCTCCTTTCCTGACTGACCTACATTTTTTTAGGATGGGGCGAGTGTGCGTGGTAGTAGTGTGCGAGGCAGCCGAGCTGTGGAGGTTCAGGAACTCGGGAGGCTTCTAGGCGCAGCTCTTGACTTGCTGAGAAGAGCGAATGGTAACAGTGACGTGTAAGTGGCTTGCCTTGCCTTGGGAGAGCGATCCGAGTACCCTGAGGCTCAGGGTCTTAATGACAGAGACCCTTAAATCTGCTGTTGGCCTTGGGATTTGCAGCCTCGGCATGCCAGATTGTCTCTGAGGAGGTACAGAGATCCTCTCCTCTACCCAATTATTACACGTATTTAGCTTAGCAAGAGATGCAACTAGGAGATACAGAAAGAGGGCCAGAAAGGGTTCTTCCCTTTCTTCTCTAAATGAAATTATCCTCCTGACCACAGGAAAGTAAATAAGGAACAGGAAGTTTGTAATCCAGTGACTTGTTGGCCCAGGAAGGTTTCATCCCTCATTCCATAATGCTTGTAGCTGTGCAAGTAAACAAAACCTTTTAGCCCCTGCAGGGCTGGGCAAGGGAGAGGAGGTCCAGTGGCCTCTCTGTAAGCAACTGGCCACTTTCTGATTAGGAGGACTCTTGCAGATAAGTGAAGTAAGTGGAATTTGTTATGATTTTAAAATGTACAGTGAGGAGGATTGCTTAATATTAGCTTGCTTATTATTTGAGTGGTTAGGAAATCCTGATTCTGCTTTTCAGATGATAAAAATGAAAGCAAGTAAAATGAAGGACTATCAACTATCCCACTCAGGGTACATTATTTATATTTTTCTAATGTTCTTTTTTAAAAAACCAAAATCCATCAATGCAGAAAAAGTACATTTGGTATTTCACTTTAAACCACTTTTATTCATCCTGATCTTTTTCAAATATGCTACTGCAACGCCACCGGTTTAATTAAATTTATGCTCCCTCTTTCCTCCATTTTTATTCCTTCAACAACAACCCTGGTAGGTTCAGCTAAGAATCCGTGATTAGCCCAAAGACACTCAGTGGACTTCCATGGCCTGGTTCTAGTCCAACACTTTAGCCACCCACTATGTCTCCTGCTGTCCTGTTTTCAGTTAATCTGCAGGCAGGAGATTTGAGAGTTGTAGTCTAATACAATTGGAAATAGGGTGCCATACTGGAGTGGTTTTATTTTTTATTTTTTATATTTTTTTAAAGTTTTATTTGATTAAAAACAAACTAACAAAAAGAAAAAGACAAACAAATACAGTTATAACAGTACACAACATAGACAAAATATACATTTAAATCAAGTCTTACAACTTGAGTCTAAATAGAAAAAGAAAGTTACATCGGTATTCTATATTTCTTTATATATATTTCTACATCTTTCATTATATAACAATATTTTAAATTTGTTTCTTAATTTATTATTTCCTTAGTTGGTATTCCTTTTTTGTCCTACTAATTTGTCTCTTCTTTTCTTTTTTTTTTTTTTTTGTATGTTCTTATTTTTTATTCCGTTTTCCTTTTCTCCAACCAGTCATACCATCGTTGCCAAACCAGGTAGTATTTCGTATCTTCTTTTTCTTGTATTTCTTTGGTAAGCCTGTCCATCTCTGCGCATTCCATTACTTTTAGTATTATTTTATCCTCCGATGGCATGTCTTCTAATTTCCAAGTTTGTGCGAATGTGATTCTTGCTGCTGTCAGGATATGAGTTATCAAATATTGTATTTCTTTTTCATAATGATTTATTAATATTCCTAATAGGTATGTTTCAGGTTTCAATGGAACTCTGGGTAGTAATTTCTTCTAATTGTTTTTGGATCATTTTCCAAATTTTTTTTGCTTTTTGGCATGACCACCACATATGATAGTATGTCCCTTTTTGTGATCTGCATTTCCAACAATCTTGTGAGATGTTGGGGAACATCTTTGCCAAGCGTGCGGGGGGGGGGGGGGTGCCACCTGTAGAACATTTTATAAATATTTTCCTTATAGGGTACAGACTTCTCGGACTTCTCTGATGGAGTGGTTTTAAATATAGAAAAATAATATTGTTTCTCTACTTACGGTAATTAGTAGTAGAGTTAAAGAATACTACTAATGTGACACATTTCTTCCTTTGTAAAGGGACACAAGAATATTTCCATGTAGTTTTATATTTTGTATAACACTTCATGTTTCTAAACTTAAAATGCCCTTTTAAAACATATCTTTACCATGCAGTCTGAAGAAACATAATGTATTACAGTATTCAATATTTGAAACACTGATAGGTCTGATATGTATAGTGGTACACAACTAACTGATTTTGGATGAATAGAATCACTAAGCAAATCAAATGAAGAATCTTCCCTCCCTCCTACAAATTTAATCACAATGGCTGGGCTTGGAACATGGCTTAACTAACCAATGTTCTGGATTCATGTAATCCAATGAGTAACAAATTAATTAAATGTCTTTTAGTGGTAGTGTAGGGTAGTGGTAGGGTAGTGCCCAGTGTGTTGTGAGTTTAGATGATGGCATGTCTGGGAGGATGCTGCACTGACATAGCCACTTTAGGCTAGGGAAGCAAATCAGTAAAAGCCTTTGCATTATAACATCATCACACGTCTATTCTAATTTGGGTGTCATCACCATCTGCTGTGAGCACTGCTATCTGCAGGCTTATATGCATTATCTTTTTCCCCGCCAAGCTTCTTAGGGCAATTTTTACAGTACCTCCTCCATCCCACTACCAATTTTATCTTTGCAAGAGTCCAGGAATATAGTTTTGGAGGGTCTGACTTTATGTTGTATGCTTTATGTAGGATCAGGATTTTGAACCCAGGATGTCCCAGCCTATTCCAACAGCTAGTCAGCAAATCATGTCTCTTGATCATAGTTCCTTGGTGAAGTGGAATGGAAGGCTTTGCTGAAGAGGTGGAGCTGTTAAGAAGCATCCATGTTGCCGAATGGAACCTGTGATGCTGCTGTTGAAGACTAAGTAAGGAGCAGAAGAGGCTGTGATTCTGTATTTAATTGGGAATACCTGTTTTGTTCACCTGCTTTCCATGCAGACACAAAAATCGGACAAAAGTTTGGCTATCAAACCTCTGGATGAAACATTCTTCTTCTGCCCACCTTTAGCCTCCATTCTCTTTCATTGGCTGACTTCCAAAATGAAAATCAGGAGAAAAAAGACTTTGGCCCCTCCTCTTTGTTCCTTGGGTAGGTGTTCCTTACCCCACCCCATGCACTAAGCACTGATGCATCAGTTGTTCCATAGAGCCAAGCAAATGCCATTTCAAGGCTGTGCAAAACTTCTGTTTTCAAGAGATCCCATAAAAGTCCTTAGAGAAATCTGTAAACGAACCTAGGGGAACATTTGTATTTGCTCTATTCCTCATTTTATTCAGAATACAAGATAATCTTACAGAGTTCCCTAATTTTATTTTACAAACATCCGAGGCAGGGCTGAGAGAGAGTGATCCTAACCCAGATCACTAAGTGAGATTCCAAGGTTGAGGATGGGCTTGGGTCTCCTTGCTTCTAAACCAGTACCTTCACCACTACACCCCACTGCCTGGTGCATATTTCAACATGGTCTGTGTAAGGGTGAGGCTACATACTAATGCTTAGTACAGAGTGATTGAGCAATTTTTTGCTTTAGAAGCTCTCTGCCTGCTCTGAGACACTCAGTCAGCTGGCCACATTTTTGCAAACAGAAAAACAAGGGTCTGAGTTGTAGACATGCAGTAGAAGGTGGTAGCTGCAAAGACAGTTGTGAAATCTGAATTCTAGAAGCTTGGTTGGCATTAGATAGCAATGGGTTATTCATATGCATGATACATTTTCTTTTTTAAAAATTCAGTCTTCTACTTATATGTGTTTTTAACAGCAGCTTGAGTTCCAGCCGCAGCAAGCAACGACGATTCACTTCATGTATGCAAAACTCTGCCTGATGATTTTGTGCCGAGCAAACTGTTTTTAAAAGGCAAAAGAATGAGCCAAACTATTTTTCCTCTTGATTAGTTGGCAAGCTTGTCTACTCTTTTATTTTTAAACAACAGCTGAATGTGTAGAAAATAAGCAAGGAAAGTTTTCTGCAGTGGTTCGTCTCCATTTCAGAAAGGTTTCCCTGTTCATGACTGTATATCCAGATGCTGTTGGAAATGTGTACAGGTAGTCCTCAACTTACAACCATAATTGGGACTAGAACTTCCATTACTAAGCAGTGCAGTCCTTAAGTGAGACATCGTATGATTTCACCTGATCTTATGATTTTTTTACTGTGGTGGTTAAGCGAATCCAGCTTCTCCCATTGACTTTGTTTGTCAGAAGCCAACTGGAAGGCTGCAAATGGTGATTAAATGATCCTGGGCTGCTGCAGTTGTTGTAAATACATATTGGTTGCCCAGTGTCCAAATTGTAATCACATGACAGCAGGGACACTGCAATGGTCGTAAGTACGAGAGAACCAATCATAAGGCACTTTTTTCTGCACTGTCATAACTTTGAACAGGTGCTGAACAAATGGTTATAAGTTGAGGACTACTCATAAACTGAAGTCTAAAAAACATTGCAGCTCAGTTCACTTGGGCGTTATCAGCATTATCAAAGCTATGTAGAGCCTGGTCTTAGGAGTACTACCTCTAAGGTGTACTTAAATGGGGAAGGAAAAAAATGTCACAATCATAATGGGAGTGGTTACTTTCTATTGTATGCAGAATGAAAAAGGTTTTGAAACGCCTAACTCTGGGTCATTTGTCATCATACTTCATGTGCTCAGGCTTTTCTGGAAAGTCTGGCAGGCCAAAAAGAGAATGATGGAATTTGACACTGGGATGTGAAACGTGTTTCATGAGTATTGCAGGCAGGAGGGGAGGGAGAGAGGAAGAGATTTCGTGCCTGTTGCACGCAAAGCTCTGCCATGCTGACCAAGTTTCCCTGGGTTGCACTAAGCAGCGAAACGTTTCAAACCAAAAAAGAAAAGAAGTTCAGTTGCCATGACTCAACTTCCAGATGAGATGCATTAAGCTTGAGTATAACCCCTTCAGAGATCCTTTCCATTTAAAAAAGATAAATGAACACTCACCCATTGGTTTGACACCAGTGTATTATAGTTATGATTCCCAGTCGCTAAATGTAAGGGAAAAATACAACTTTAGGTCAGAACAAGATGACCTAGCGATGATGATTGATGGTGGTCAATTGAAACACAGAGGCCCAAGTTGCAACAACAACTTCTTTGGGGCTATTAGATCTGGGTTGCAAACATCTAGACAATGGTTAGGTGGCAGAAATGAAATAGATAAAACTTCAATTCTTGCTGCTATGTAGTTCAGCGGTCACCAACTGGTAGTCCGTGAACCACTGGAGGTCCACGAGAAAATTTTGGTGGTCCTCAGAAAAATTATTTGCATTTTTTATATTGCACTAAATCAGGGGTCCTGAAACTACGGCCCCTGGACAGGATACGTGCAATGAATGTTTGTGTTGCTGCAGAGAGTCTCCCCCTTCAGGGTCTTCTTGTGTGGGTCAGAGGGGGGCAGAAATTCTGACTTGGGGTCTGCTTCGGCCTCCTGGTACAGGGCTTTGGGCGAAGGCTGGAGGGAAGTGCCGCTGGTGGCGAAGAGTTGGAGGGCCTTGTTCCAGTGGGATTGCCTCATGGCCTGGAACTGGCTGACCATCTCAGCCACTGAGCCTCCAGGTGCCAGTACCTGGCCTTGCACTCCCGCAGGTCTTCCCTCTGCTTGGAAAGCCTATGCTCCTAGACCTCAGTGAGGTGCTTCTGCTGAGCCTCCTTCTTGGTCAGATCCAATTTGAACTGAGCCAGCTGTTTTGCCAACACTTTCTCATGGTGGCTGCTTAGCTCCAGCAACTGCTTCCTGTTAGGACCTCAACAGGATTCTAACTCCTCCTACTCCTTGCCTGAACCTAAGGAGCCCGGGCGAGGAGTAGCGAGTAGAGACTGGCAAGGTGCCCCTCGCCGTGAATGACATCTAGTTGGCCACGCCCACCCAGTCACATGACCACCTTGCCACACCCACCCAGCTGATCATTAGGCAGATCATATTAGTGGTCCGTGGGATTTAAAATTATGAATTTAGTGGTACCTGAGGTCCGAAAGGTTGGTGACCCGTGATCTAGTTGACATCCAAACTCTTTAGATCAATCATATTCAGTCTTTGCCTAGATTTGCTATCATTTGAGTAACTTAACCTTTACCAGCAAGTTATTACACTTGCTTTACTTCCGCATGCCGGATTGGCTGGTTCCTTTCTAGTTGACATCTTGATAGTTCTGCTTAATTTTATCTTGGTTAGTCCTGAAACAACCTGTGGCTTTTTCCCACTGCCCATAGGACTATTGGAAACCCTTTGCTCAACACAGATTCCCCTATGGCTCCTCAGAAGGTTTCTGCTTCTTTTCTTGATTGAGATTTGGGACAGATTATTCTAACTGGGCCATCCTCTCGTCACAGCATTATAATCTGCATTTACTTGTTGAGTTGCTAGTCAGAAGGTTCCTCTTCCCCCTCCCCCTGAAGAATGGCAATATGGATTATGATGAACTGATTATGCAGAAGTAGAGTAGATGTGGAAAGCAAAGGGGGGGAGGCAGCTGAAGGATGGTGGCTCAGTTCCAGACCTGACAGGAACAGAACATTCTTGCTTGGAAAGTGGAGACACGATCTGCAACAGTTATTACATCATGAAGCAGTTGTGTGGGAAGCCCTACAGGGAGGGAACCTAGAGGAGGGAGTGATATTTTGGAAGGTGCAAGTCAAGGGAAGGAATCTGCAGAGCAAAGCAACCCTCCAGGAGGAAGTGTTGGCTTGCTTTCTGCAGGGAATTTTGGATTAACTAAATACACTGAAATCCATTCCAAATAAACAAATAGGAATATTAGTCCTGCCATCCTAGAATTTTGCAGAGAAACTGGCCATAAAATTGGTTCTGGATAGCCTGTTGTTGCTGGGAAGTGGGACAATAAAAAGACAGTCAAGTTGACTGTGGGTATCTGGGCCGTTTCTTTCAATGGATTTGAAGAATCTTAGGCGGGTGTGGTGGTATGTGCACACCATCCGCAGATAAGACATCAGGAAGCTAATAACATGGAATTTGGATTGTGTCATAATAAATCTGTTTGTTTCTGAAGCACCAAAGGCATTTTTTTCCTGCAGCAGGCAAGCAGAGCTTCCTTCTGGAAGTTACCTGTCATAATGAGAATGGCATCACTTGACCAAGTTAGATCCTCCGTTCTCTGTGTGGGTAGCCCATTATCCAAAGCACTGATTAGCATTATACTAGTTGTTCAGGAAAGAAAATGCCCTCTGGTTTGCCTGGCTTCAGGGCTTTGAAAAGAGAGTTCATGGGCAGAAATTGAACAGAAGATCTTCCCAGCATAACCTTAGCTATTATTGTTTGCCAAAGAAATAGCATTATGGGGGCAAGTTTAAAAGTTCAGCTCTGTGATAGTCTCAGGCTCTGTTCAAGAAACATGTCCAGAGGCTTCCTCTATAATCCGGCACTTATTAATCCCAGAAGCTTTAATAGCCTTGCTATAAATTTGCTGACATGACCTCATTTTTCCTTTAAGATGTTGTCCAGGATTATTGGATCTTGTAATTCAGAATTCAAGGAACTCATTCCAAGAGGAATGTAAACCTGTTCCATTATGGCTGTGTTCTCATAACACACTCAACTAAATCTGTTCATTGCTGTGTTCACATATCCTGCTGTGCCTAGACAAATAAATCATGTTATAGTTTACCATGACAGCCTGAGTTGGTAATAAACATTGGATTCCTTCAGCAAACTGAATCACAAACAGCCTTATCCTATATTAACTGGTCTAATATATTGTATAAACCTAACATGCATGTCATTTTGGATGTATGCCCTTGTTACTTTCATAATCAGTCTTCTGTTCCATGTGCTTTTCTGCTTACAGTCAGATTTGATTTTCAGAACCTAATTGCACTCTTAATTTTACTGCACACTCGTATCATTTTCCTTCGTGCTGAACAATTTCCAGCCATTCAGCTTTTATTACAGGAAAGCCCCAAACAGAACTTGATTTTCAAAGTGAAAATGCTCAAAAGTTATGTTGTTCTCTTTAATTTGAAAGCCTGTCTGTGACACTTTTGTGAATGCAAAGCACTTGGCATCAGTTCAGATGCACTCTTATCTTTTGCTTTGCTTTTGATTACTGCTCTTATGTAACTGTACAACTGTATTTTCATTCTGATGCTACATCGAATTGGTAAGATCCAGCTCCTCCTATGCCGAGAGCTCAAAGTGAGCAGCAGTCCTTCTCTCTTCTGACCTCTTTTGAATCCTATCAGACCTACTGCCCCAAGGGGGTGACGCAGACTGAGAAGTAGGTCAGCTTCCTCTTCATGCCTGAGCTTGCAGGATCCTGGTTGTATACACCCAATCCAGCTTAGTAGTAGTTCCATGTGCCCTCTAAGACACGAGGCCAGGCCCTGTAGGCAGATCAGGGTGTGGGATTTGGGCTTAGCTGGAAAACTCTTTCTCATTCTGGGTCAAGGCAAGAAAATAATATGTGAACCTAGAGGGAGGATGTTACCTTTTTGACATCAAGAGCCCAGGAAGGCTGGGAATCTGGTGCACCCCAGCACAAATTGATAGCAGTCGCACCCTTTCGATTCAGCACCAGGTGATGGATTTGGGAGGAGAGACCAAATAAAAGGTAAAGTTAAAAAAAAAAAAGGCCTGGAAATGCAGACTGCTCATGCTGATCAATTGTTAACTCCCACTTTGGGGAGAAATCATTGGGAGGGTTAACAAACATTTTCTAATAAACATCTCTAATAAAATGGATCCTTGAGGAATTGCTAGCCTCGGAGTCTTCTTTAATTAGGGGTGTTACTTGGAACCCTGACACTGAGGTCTATGAATTTCTATGAATAATGCTTAGAAATCTTGTTTTTATTTGTACTACTGATGTAGCAGTTACTATTATTATGAATTAAAATTGTTACAGCTACTCACTGCAAAAGACTGTTAGATTTGCTGTCTTTTAGTGAGGGTTTCTGTCAGTCTATCCTCCCCTTGGGTCTTTGCTCTCTAAAGGTCATTTTCTAAAGACTGAAATTTCCTCTAATTGGAGGCTAGTCTACTTTAGTATTTTTAAACGTACTACTTTGTTTAATATGGCACTAATAGGACCTGCTGCATAAATGTAAGATTTCTGTTTGGAATACATACAGTGAGCATTGTGGCTTTGTGATGCATTCTTTTGTTCATGGAAGAAGTTTTGTAGGGCAGGGGAGCAAGGAGAGAGGAAATATCTTATAAAAGAAATGTCCAGGTTTGAAAAAAGAAATGTGTGGTCTATGAAGACACTTGAATGAAACATGAATATCAAAATGGAAGCTAATGGGTGTTTATGGCTTTCTCTGTAGAAACCCTGGCACCATCCAAGATACTGAGACTGCTGAATCTGGTTGGAAATTGGAGCAAGGGATCGGGGAACTGACTAGTTATCAAGATGATTCTATGGCCAATTGTTAGCAGTATTTTCTCCTATCGGTCCCCAATATTGCCTTCTCTGCCTCCTGCTGCTATTATTTCTTTGTGAAGAAACAGTTTGTAGGCCAGTAGGTTGTTGGCGCTGTGCCGCTCTCTCTTTTCTGTAACTGTTGTGCAATCCATAATCATCAGACCTGTTTTGACTGCCTAGCTTGATAAATATTCAGTGTTTACTGACCTATATTCCTGCTGCCTGTGCCTGGTGCGCGTAGATCACATGCAAGGAAAAGAAAGGAGGGGGGTTTGCCATCATCGTGGGGGAGCGTGCGTGCCACTTGGTACACATGGCCTTGCCTTCTTGGGAAGGAGAGCTTCAGCATTCCTATCTATGTGTCATGGTGGATGTGGAAGGAAGGTTGGGGTGGCATTCTTTATGCAACCTGTCTGGCTCGCTGGCCTATCCCTCAGCAGTCAAAAGGGGGCTGGAAGATTCCCTGCCTTGGATCTCTCCGCTTCAAGGTTAAAAATCCCCGTCCGGATTCACTTCTTGTAATCTCCTTTACTCTCCCTCCCTCCCTTCCTCCCCATGTTATGAGAAATTTGGGGGGGGGGGTTGTCTGTATGTATGCATCTATGTGTGTGAGAGAGATGGGGAGAGTACTTTTGTGAATGAAATGGAAGTAAGTGGCACATTTGGAGTGTATCAGAGTGGCATTGTCCCTACAGGCATGTCTGTATGCAGACATCTCAGAGGGAAAGAGGGGCTTAAAAGAGGAAAGTCTTAACCTAATGAATGCATCACTGTATCTGGAAAAGGTCAGATGTGACTCCTTTGTCTTTCTTGGGGGTATGCCAGTAAGAAAAGTCGTTTTTCCCTTGTATGTTTGGCAGAGATCTCAATGTGGGTGCAGCATCTCTGGGGTGTGGCATGCTTTGGGTTTGGGGCGGGGACAAGGTGGGGCATATATTTTGATTGCCAAGCAGAAATTACAGCTGAATGTAGTTCTGCTTTGTGGAGCAGGGTCCCCCCCTCCCCCCGTAGAGCCAACTTCACATTTATTTCTGAGGGGAGCTGGAATGTGGGGTGTGGCCCATGTAAACCAAGGGCCATGGTGATGCTGCCTGAACCTGCTGGATTATGTAAACAGAGCCTGAGGTGTGTGACAGCACTAGGCAGAAATGTAACACCCTCTTTTTGTATCCTTCCTCCCTAGGCGTTTCTGCTGCCTTCTGGGCCTGACCCAGCAGTTGATGTTGATTCTCTACTCTTCCCACTGTGCCTCTGTTGTCCAGCCACATCCCGACTCCTGTTGTCTGGAGTGTTACTGAGCTGAAGACTGAGGACAATAAAACCCTCCCAAGGAATCTGGAGACAGTCCCTTTTCGGCGGTGATTTGGAAGATGGTCTCCTTGTATCGGACAATTCATTTTCCATTGATGGGAGCCCAGATCCCATCTGACTGTAGCAACTGGAGGACAGCTCAAGGCCATATTGGATACAGCTTCCCAGGCAATACAGCTTGGTAACAGTTTGGAGTGCACAGCTGGGAAGAAGTATCCTGTGGAACAACAGGAGCAGCCACCGCCACAGTTCTGAGGAAGGGAAATACTCCAGCGACAGACAAAGTGCATCTGGACATTTTGCCCCCCCACTTCCCTCCCTTCCCCCACCCCTGTGATGGAGAGTCTCAACTCCCCCACATTATGTGTGGCTGGGAACTTTCCCGAGTTCCATCCCAACGGCATTATTCAGCGAGCCCGAACCCTGAAGAGCAAGCCGAATGCCAACTGTAGGCGAAAGCGAGAGTTCATCTCCGATGAGAAGAAAGATGCCAGCTACTGGGAGAAGCGTCGGAAGAACAACGAAGCTGCTAAGCGTTCCCGGGAGAAACGGCGCTTCAATGACCTGGTTCTGGAGAATAAGGTGCTGGCACTCAACGAGGAGAATGTGCGGCTGAAAACAGAGCTACTGCAGCTGAAGCTGCGTTTTGGCCTCATCAGCACAACAGCCTTCATGGAAAAGAGCCAGCAGCTGAGCACTGCCAGTGCCAACAACCCAACACACTTATATGGTGTCGGCAACAGCAGTTTGTATCCCAGTTCCCTGTCCCGAGCCTCCCACTCAGAGGATTCGTCTGAAACTGAGCAGTCAAGCCGGGACAGTGTAAGTGTATCGGTAGCCAAGTATTCTCCCCGGGACTCTCTCTCTGACCTGTCTGATGGCTCATCTCGGGACAGCCCTCTCCCCCAGACGCTTGAGGAAGCCCAGGCCATCCATCGTGTCTACGGGGATGCCCCCTTGCAGCCTTACTCAGAGCCTAAGGGCTCAGTTCCCCGCAGTGTGATCCTCTTCAGTGCCAATGGCTTCACTGCAGTGGCCCCTCCGCAACCCTTGCTTCCTGAAGAAGTGGGGCAGGCAGAAGGCTGTGGGAACCAGAGTCCCAAAAGCCACTGCAGGGGGCGTGATCCTCACTGCTCACAGGGGGAGCTCCAGACGCACTCAGGGTATTGCTCAAAGTCCCAGAACTGTAATGCTTCTGACGGTTATTTGGAGGGGGAGCACATAAAGAAAGTTGAAGAGCCTAGATCCCCCTTTGAGGGTTACACCAGTGAGGAAAGTGAAGAACCCTCCTGGGGATGTTCCTCTGCTCCCTTCCCTGTGCCGTTGGACACCCACCCTGACGTGAAGACCGCAGCTCTCCCACACAAGCTTCGACTCAAGTGCAGAGCGCACAGCAGTGGGATTCATGAACCGTTCCCCGGATCTAGCACTGCTCCTGCTGGCTGCTGCCAGGGAGTCTCGACAGCCTCAGATTGGGACAGCGACCGACATGAGGAGATGTCAGCCCTGGTGCGGCAAGCCTTGTTTCTGAACGAGCCCCCCGCCTCCAGTGGCAACTTGGAAAGACTTTTGTGTCATGGCTCAGGGCTGCCTCCAGATCACTCAGTCCCAAAGGACCATGTCAGCAGGTGGGAGGATGCTTGTCATGATGATGGCCCCAGACCAACTTGAAGAAGACCTAGGTCTGGATAAAGATTTGGAAAGTAAGAAGAAGAAATTGAACTGGGTGTTGGTACAAGACAGGGATTTTACATGGCCAAACGAGCATTGGAGAAGAGGGCCATGGCTGACCTGCACCTGCTGACTTCAGAATCTCGGGGGAATAGGGACCATGAGATGGCAAAAGAGGATACGTAGGTTGAACGTGGGGGATAGGGTGGGGCTGCCTCAGAAAAAGACTTTGGAATTACTAAGGTATAGTGGGTGATGGGACTCCTGTTTTCTAAGGCTCCAGAATTCAGGGTGTAGATGAGATGTGTTTTGATGGGTGAATGCCTAATGGTATTCTAACTTGATAACAATTCTGGCATTGTGATCGATAGGAGAGTACCCAAAAGTTGGCGTCTAATCCATTCTGCACTGATGTTAAGGTTCTTGGACACCCACAATAAGGATGCCTAAATGGATTGTCAGTGACTGTATTTTCTCTGTCAGAAATTGCTTGGCCAAACCAAGCATTGTGTGTTTTTAATTACTAAAATAAACCTACAGAAAAATGTTAAGAAATGCTTAAGAGTTGTTGACTGACTTGGGAGCAGAGGAAGATTGACACGGAACACACAGGTGGGTACCTAAGTCTTTTAAGGGCAAACAATGTACTTCTGCATTATGCCTTTCCATCCAAGAGCTTCACAAAGAGAAATAAAACGTATACTAAAAATAGCTAATGAATTAATAAAATAACAGTTATTTGGAATGGTGTTCCTAGAAGTTACATGTAAAATCAGGATCAGACCACAAATTGTTCTTCATAAATGAATGACAATCTTAACTTGGGTTTGAAACAAGCAAAGAAGGATCTAGCAATGTGCTGTTTTCACTGAACTTCTGGAAAAATTTGGTTTCACCTCAACTAGAAAGTGGCAGCTGAAGAGGTTAGGGTGCAAGGAAGTTACCCTCTCAGGTTATGTAGAGTTAAAAAGGTCAAGCTTTAGTAACCAATAAATAGCTAATGTAATTCATTCAACACCACCGTAATGTGTTTCTTGCATTTTGTGCCAGTAAATAGAAATAACATTTGTTTATTTGAGTTCCAAGCCTGCCTTCTAGTTGTAAGCACAGTTGACTTATAGTTTTAATCATTTTCTTACCATTGGGGGAAATCATCTTTCTCCCCATGTGGATGTGAAATATTTAAGTCTACAAGCAATGGATATTTGAGAGGTTGATGAAGGGTTAGATTAAGGGTAGAGCTGTGCTTCAATTTTTGATGTTCATAATGTGAATTTTATTTTCTTAGAGGAAATGTCTTAATTTTAGAAAAAAGGATTCTTGTAAAAGAGCACTAGAAAGTGTGATTGCTATTTAGTACAGTAAACCCTTGATTTAATGGACCTTTGCTTAGTGCCTGTTGGACTTAATTGGCAAAATCTGCTGGATCCAGGCACTGAGCTATGCCCTAAAATACTGATGAGGTCTGTTTTTGGCAAATGACATTTGGCCACAAAATGGGTATTATTGTTGTCAGTAAAGGAGACTTTCACATGTGCAAGTGTGTTTGTGGGTTCCAAAAAGCCTATTACTTATTTAAAAGTTTTTTTTAAAAAAATGCCTGATGCATTTATTTAACAGACACCCTTTAATTTTGCTAAGGATTTATTAGATGGTGGTGGTGGTGATTATTTGCAAGAGATGAAGAGTCTGAGGCATTGTGATTTAGCTCTGGGAAACCAGCCATTTTTGTATTAATTCTATTCTAATGAGTCAGGACAAAGACTATTCCTGAACTAAAATTTTGATTTTTTCATCATATCTACTGTTGGTTGCTTTGGACAAGGCAGGCTTGAGCGAGAGATGGGAGTGATGCTATTCTCTATTTTAAATCCTTGCCCATCACCTGGTTTTCTGCATCACTGACAAAGCTATTAGCCTCTTTTCCAAAGCTGGACTTTCTCATTTGGTTGAATCTGTGGGTGAGGGTAGGATTATCCACGATTACCCGGGGGGGCGGGGAGAAAAACTGTGTCATGAAAAGTAGGTCACTAGCCCCCCCCCCCTGCGCACGCACACAAGCATGCAGCTCGAGGCTGGCTGAGAGCCAGTGTTGTATCAGGAAGCCAGCCCCTCCACAAAGCCTAGCCTGTGTTGCCATAGTAACAGTAGCAGCTGAAAAGGGAGCAGAGAATGGGTGAACCAAGAGGGAGTGTGGCCAGCCCGAGATTTTTTTTTTATATGGCTCTGCCGACTATGAAGGGAACCTGCTGCTTTGGCCGTATCCAAGGGCGCTGCAGGAATTACATCTTCCTCAAAAGAGGAGGATGTAATGGAAGTCAAGCAGAGGCGCCAACTTGTTTTTTTATTATTATTACCAGCCTATTACACAGACCTTTGGCAGATGGCTATGATCCTCTTGCGAGGATGAAAGAGTAGAGCCACTCATGGCTGGACTGTAGCAGTGCGCTATACATGAAGCTGCTCTTGAAGACCACACAAAAGTTACACTGCTCCCGAGTCTGTGGTACATGCAATGTTGGATGTCCCTTGATTTGCCCATATCATGTTATGACAGTGCGAGTTATACTGGCTCCCATTTCTTTCTAGTTGCATTTTGAGGTGCTGGTTATCACCTTGAAGCCCTACATGCACAAAGCCAGGCTATTTGCATTAGGTGGTCACCCTCCAGACCCCTCCTGCCTTTTTTATAGCAGTCCCAGCTCCATGGAGCACCCATTCCCTGCATTTGGCAGGCCCCATCCTTTTATTTTGGCTCTTTCCCCCAGCACTGGGACAGAATAAGATTGGAACCTGGAAATGGTTGCTAGATGCATTGAAGAGCAATGGCTGAGGCACCAGGTTTTATTTTTGTGGTTTTATCGTATTTATTGTTGTGAGCTGCCTAGAGTTGTGTTTCTTGAGATCATATACATCTTTTAAATTTTTAAAAAATAATCTCAATTTGTAAAGCTATAAAATGTTTAAGAGTGGAATGAAATGCAGAAAACAAATAAACATTCAGACAACCCTTCAACAAATGGGGCATAAATTTAGAGGTTGGGTTTAATATGATTTTTAAAAATGTAACCTCCTCAACCTTTTGTAGCTGAAATCCTGAATTTATTAACAGTGGCAGTTTATAGAACACACCCATTTTTAGCTGTAGCATTGGCAGTAACCTTCATCCATCTTGGAAGCATTAAAGTGATTTAATAACCATATTCAAACATACAGCCAAATAGAAATGAATTGCCCTAAAACAGCCTTCTCCAACAAGATGCCCTTTTCAACTTCTGTAATTCCTAGACAGGATGGGTAAGGCTGGTTTAGGTTGCCAATGACTGCAATAAAATAAAATAATGCCATATAAAAGTTATGAATGTCACAGAACAGTCTAACAAACTAATCTCAACAAACAATACAAGCTGGAAGGATAGATACTGTAATCAGACCTGAAGTAAGACAACTTCCCTAGTAGTTCTACCAGTTTAAACTTAGAAGCTACTTAAGATTCCTTTTCTCGATTAAATAAATATATCAAGCATTATTCTCTTAGATTTCCACTTAACATGATTATGATCATATCACCTCTTTCAGTTACAGTACTAGGATGGTATCCTTTTTGTCCTTTTTCATTGGCTTGATGGACAGATCCATCTTGGTCTTCTCTAATACGTTCATTAAAAATTATGATGCTGGTCTAGTTCTAAAGGTAGCCTGCAGTTCAACTTGTAACAACACACACCTCAGTTCAGAGATAGTTCCCAAATTTTTCTTGATGACCATTGTCTTAGATGGCATTGAAGATTACCTTTAGATAGTTCAGTATATGTAGATGCATCAGACGCTCCTAACTCTAGTTGGAATAATTTATCTATATAGTGGTAGCTCTTTTTATTTATTTAGTGTATGGTATATCATACATGGACTAGTGGTAACTCTTAATAACTGCCTATTAATATCAGCTGTGAGTGGCGTAGAGCTGTTGCCCAAAGGGCAAACAGAAATGCTAAATTGAATGAGGGTGGTCCATTCTGTTAGCGCTTGTGGCATATCATTGGAGCTTGTTATAATGCAGGAAGAGTTTGGCATCATGCACCCCAGTCAAGAAAATATATGCAAGTTCCACTCAACCTCAATTGCATGTGATCCATTTTCTTGCAGTGGCAATCTAGCAGTGTGAACAGGCCCATGAGCTGATTGTGGGTCAGGAAAAAAATGAATATGTGATAAATTATTGCTTCATCTCAATGGCAGTATTTGCCTTGAAGATGAAACAGGAAAGGACCTGCAGCTCTGTAAGTCCTGAAACTCGGAAAACTCAGGAGGGTGGAGACAAAACAGTTCTACCATTTCAGGGAGATGTGCTGTGTTAAGGTAAAGGCTTTGTGATTCCTGGGATAGTTTTAATTGTTCCAGTGGCTCTTTGCCCTTGGGATAAGCATGTTGGTAAATTGGGCCAGGAGGCGTTAGCTGCCAGAATCTCCCTCAATCAAGAGAAAACAAGGAACCCAGTAACTAGATGAGATCATCATCACTGACGTTTGAGATCAGGTGACCAGTTGGTCACCTTTTCTCCTTCAAAGCCATGGCCTTCCAGACATTGCTGAGTCACTATAAAGTCAAGTGAGTAGTGACAGGACAATCTCCACAGGCTTGTAAACTGGTGTCTCAAGAAAGGCAGCTGCACCTCACCACCACTGATGAATTTGGGCTTAACCAGCACCTCTGTGGAAATTGTTATTAGGCGTTACCTCATTCTACATAGGAATTCATGCTCTGTAAGAGAGTGAATGCTGCTGCTTAAGAGTTGGTGGAAGCCCAGGGGGTCAGAGCTGTCCCTCTTCCTAATATCAAAATGCCTTTGTAGTGAATTCAGATTTCTAGCAAAAGTGATGGCCCTTGTTATGTGAGGACAGGGTGGGGGTGGGGTGGGGAGAGACAATGCAGGGCAAATAACATGGGAGAGAAAAAAAGCTGATCTTTTTTTTATTATTTTGCTCTACTCAACTTTGGGATGTCATATACTCTCCAAAATTTTCTGATGTGTTTGTGACATCTTGGTAGATCAAGCTCAAATTTGATATTATAAATATAATACTGTACTTTAATACTATAAATATAAAATTATGCCCTGATAGTCTACATCTATCTTGTTGGAATGTACTAGGTGTACCACCACTTCCAGCAATAGTTTTGTCACTTCCCTCAAAAAGCATACTTGTTAGCATTTCAGACTGATCTTCAGCTACTCATTCGCTGATACGGATTATCTACTGGGAAGTTCTGCACAAGCCATTCTGTCACTTCCTTCTTTTGCACAACTCCCATGCATTTTAATCAAGGCTTATACCAATTAAATTCTTTCTGTATCATGTCTCAATAACCTTCTGAACAGTAGCCTGCATTCATCATTCCTTGGAAGGGTGTTTGGGTTTATTAAGAGATGTGTATGTGAACAGGCCAGTTCTCTCTTATTGTTTTTTTTTAATTTCCAAGGTGTTTTGTAATTTGGGGAATAGGTCTTAATAACTTCCCTTATTCCAGTGCTCAATCCCAAGATACAAAGGGGAGAGCTTCAGATGAGGCAGGCTTAAGAGAGAGAAGACATGGTCATTTAGAAGCCACGGCATTTGATGACATGGTTCAGGCTGGCAAGTATTTGAATATTCATTCTAATTAAATCAAAAATTTAGGATAATAAGACCTTATCAATCAACCAGGTCTAGAGTCACAAATTTGACCAATGAAACCATTCTACTGGACCAGAGATAACCCTATCAGATCAGCCAAGAATTGCTTTACTGTTTAGTAAGTCTGTTGGCTGAATACTGAAAGAGCAGCTCAATCGGTCACTCAGACCCAGTGACAGAATAGCCTAGTAGGATGGATTGACTCTGTCTAGTTTCCTTGTCTTGGCACACAATGCCGTGTGAGAGGAGCCTCACGTGCACAACAGAAGCCGTTTGTAACAGTAACCTTCTGGCACAATGCCTTTGTTCTTATGTAACACCCAGCTCAGGCTGCTGGAGGGAGGAAGCCCAAGAGTGGAATGGGGAAATGATTCCGAGGAGCCATGTGACTCAGGCAGCACATGAAAGGGCGAATATCCCTTTGGTTAAGACTAGCTGGGGCAACTCTACCTTCAAGCCCAATTCCTTCCACACCCTGGTTTCTCACCCTAAAAACGTTTGCCCAGTCCCTGGATTCTAGGAAATAAGGGATGGGACAGGCAGTCTTGAGATGAACCATCTGCTTTTCCATCAGACGTTCCCCTTCCAAACCCAAATAATCAGTGATCAGAGAAGGTAAAAGCCAAACACGCTGTACAGATTGGTTTATTAACATGACAATGCTTCTGCCTGCGTAAGCCAAGAGACAATTTTGATGGTCCAAGAGAAATACTTCGCAGGCAGATTACGTGGCAGTCAGCTTCCTAGCTCCTTGGGATGGAAGATAGGGTATATGCCTTTATTCACAGTACAGACAGTACAGCCAGAGTCTTTCATCGAGCACTCATGCATTACATCAGAGAGGGAGAACATTCATACACATACACAGTACCTTCCCTGCAAGGTAGGAGCTCCAACCCTGGAGGTTTCCTCCTGTCTTTCTAATTGCTTTGCTCCCTTATAAGGAAGAGCTCCTTAGCTCTGGATTTGGAAGGAAAATGAACTTTGCAAATAAAATGCTTTCCCCACCCACATATTTGCCTCCCGATTCCCTTCTCCAAAATTTAGGAGTTCTGCACCACTTCTTTTCAACATCTACACAGTACAATACATTGCAGACTTGCTTGGAGCAAACCTGATGCCTAAGTACTGGGCCAGCTCTCATGCATCTGGGAGAGTTTTATGGACTAAGTGTGATATTTAGGGCCAAATAAAATCTGTCATGAACCTTGCCGAGTGTGCCATGCTGTGTAGCTCTGGGCAGGCAAGGCAGCTCCGTGGGGCTACATTTGGCTTAGTGAAGTGACTGAAGAGGAGCATGGAGGTTGCAAAGGGCTCTTGGGGACTGATAGGATTGTGCTATCGGGGTAAATGGAGGAGCGTGAATGGAAAGGTGGTGATGCTAGCTAATAGGATTGGAATTGAGAATCAAAAGAAGAGAGAAAAACAGACTTATACCATTTAGCTGGTACTTGCATAGAGAATACCTTTCCTTCCAGGTGGAGAGGGAAAGCATTGGGGGGGGGAGACCAGCAGCTACACCAGGCAGTAGCAGCAGTGCTATTACCATTAAGACAACTTTGATACACTCCTAATGATATGGTGCCAAATCTGGGTTGCTAAATTTGAGAACTGAACTTCTTTTTCAAGGCAAAGCAACCAAGTCTCAGGATGAACAGAGAGAAGCCAAGAGGAGCAGGCTCTTTTTCTCATTCACTGGACTCCATTGCATCAGAACTGGTATCTGCAAAATGCTTCTGGATAAACAATCTATTAAGTGCAACCTGATTTGAAATCACAGCTGTACACTTAAACATGACATTGCTAATTTACAGCACCATCATGCATGATGACATCTTTGCTCAAATAGCAATGACATAAATTCATGAGTGGGCAGGATGGCAACGTCATGCATTTTGACCAATGTGGTCAAGCAGCCACCTTAATTTTACATGACCCCTTTATTGCAACTTAGCAGTTTACATGAAACTCCTAGTACTTGCTCCTGTCTCTTTAGGAGTTCCACAGTAGTTCCATATCCTAAAGGGACACACAAAGAGCCTTATCTGTCCTATATGCCAATTCATAGGCTCTGCCTATTTTCCTCCTATTCCTGATAGTCCTAGGAAGCCAACCAGGTTTCCAGTGTCAGCCATTTCAAAAGAATAGGGAGAGGGAAGTTGAAACAGGACTTTGAGACCTGTTCCTGCACTTCTTTGAACTGAGCTTCATATGCACTTCCAGATTTACCAGTTTAGATTGCAGCATTCTCCTCAGTCATTGTCTGTTAAGGCTTTTGTCAGAACCCCAAAATCACAGTCAGAGAATCCACTTGCATAATAGGACTATCAGGCTGAGAGCAAAACTAAGTGAGCTCATTAAGGGCCGTTATTAAGGGAGAAAAGAGCAAAGCCTGTCCACAATGAATTAGTGGCTTGGGATGTTGTGCCTGCCATCAGTGGCAAGGATATTAATATGAAAATTTATCTTCCAAAAAACACTAGGGGCAGATTGAGGTTTCATCCATTACACTGCAAAAAGACATCAAAGATACTTTGGGTGCCTGATACAAAAATGTCCCAATGGTGAAGAATTATCCAGAGCAAATCCTATTTCCATTGAACTTGCATAGTAAAACTTCCCAAACATCATGCCCTTAGATCAGAAGTATTCTCCATCAATATTTTTGATTCTACAAATCCACTGCTTCAGGAGACTAATTTACCATGACTTCATGATATGCAAGCTTTTTGTCCCATTCAGCTATAAATAAATAAAAATATTAGCTCCTCTTCGGGATGGAACAGATTTACAACCCCACAACTAAAGGCTGACCCACTTATTTCACCTGATAACTCATTTGTTATTCAAATTGCTCACATGTGAAGAACATATATAACTCCAATAATTTATCGTTGAAATTAGGAAAGCAAAATAGAAAGAACCAGCCTCACCTGAAGCAGACAGAAAGGTGACTTGTTATGCAGGTGGGTGAACTGGGGACGTGAATATTGGAGCTGCTTACTTGCAGTTCCTTTGATGCTACTTTGACAATATCCCAAGAGCTCTCCTGTCCACTCCCTCAACTCCCATGCCCCAGTGCTAATCATTCTGTGACATGTGCATGACATTGGACCTTCCTCTTTGCATACAACCTTGCCTGCAGAGATTCAGATGCCACAAGAATTTTCACTGGACTTTTTGAACTTTGTGAAGGATGAAAACTTGCTGCATTCAAACATTGCCTGGTGTTTTGCATTCCAATTCTAATTGTTTCCCTAAACATCAATTCTTATTATTTTTTATTATACAGATTTCAAGAAATAGCCTGAAGCACAGTACAATGGGTGTGAGGTTGGGGAAGGGAGTGATCACAGTATTAACCATTTCATGTATAGTTTTACTTGTGTATATATATATATATATATTTATATATATATTTGTATTTATATTTATATAAATATTATAATATAATATATATATAGCAAGAGATATGTATAGGTACTTTACAAGGCTTAGGAGTAGACATGCCATTCACAAAGGGATGGCTGAGGCGGAGGCACTGTTGCCTCTGCCCTTCATATTCACAGAGAGCTTAAGGAGCGCCCCCTTCCAGCTCTGTTGGGAATAGAGCTTTGCTACCTTACTGCTGCCATACCATGAAGGCTGGAAGGCAAATACGACATTGGTTCTACTAGTATGGTCCTGGGGGGCCAGGAGGGTGAGAAAATCAACTCTCCTCTGGTTCAGTGAGCAGCCCCTTTCTTCTCCAGGGTAGGAGCTGGGGGTCGGGGCGTGTCTCCTGCACACTTGCTCCCTGATGCCAAGACAGATAGCTCTTCTTTCCCTCGTTTTCCCTTGGCTTCAGCTGAGCTTCGCTTCAGTCCATTCTTGGTTTCCTCTGGGCAGAGGCAACTGGGGGTTTTTACACAGGTTCCCAACGTGGTGTGCTCTTCCACGACCTCCAAGATCCACTTCTCCTTGGGCGAGCCAATCTTGTCTTGGACAGGCTGCACAGTGGTCTTTCCTGGAGGGCCAGGATCTTGGCTCTCTTTCGGTTCCAACACAATGGGGACAGGGCCCCGGGGAATCACATCTGCCTCTAGGCTGCCTTTTCTGCCTTGCTCGTGCTCTTGAACAGGGCTCAGGGCTTTAGTCAGGGCTCGGTTTGCTGCTGCAAAAGCCTCCTCGGTCTGCACAGCTTGGCTCCTCCTGCAATCCCCAGGAACAGCATCTGGCCCCCTTGCTTTGGCATTGGTCTCCGAAGCTGCTTCTCCATCTCCGACCCCAAAACTAAGGGGGGATTCCTGCCGGCCCAGGCGCCGGGTGGCCAAGGGCTTTGGAGTGCCAGATTCACTGGGACTTTCCCCATCTGACTCAGCTAGGCTGTGAAGGCCAGGCTCCCCATAGAAGTCTTTGCGGTATTCAGAGTGCACCACCTCCAGGCTATGTTTTCTCACTACCACCTTCTTCTCCGCGCTTAAGAGAGAGCCCAGTTTTTCCGCTGATTGCACCCGCTTCAAAAGTGGTGAACGAGGGGGCTCTGCGCTCTTGGGGCGTGGCCGTACCACTGGTGGTGAAGAATGAAGCTTTGCAGGAAAGCTCTGGGTGGTGTTGGAGCTGCCCACGGTATGGCCGGGAAGTGGCGGTGGTGAGGATTGTGTAGGTGAGGGCGTATGTGCCAGTGGTGAGAGGGGAATGTTTCCAGCTGACTTGCAACGGGCCGAACGGTACTGGCGATGCAGTTTGGGAGATAGGCCATGCAGAGTGCTGGGCCGCATGTGGTGGGACGTGGTGGCGGGTGAATTGGGTGTACTGGAGGCTGGGGAACTGCTCTGAGAAGAGGCACCTACAAAGAGGTAAAGAGAGGAAAGATGAGATGCACCATGGAGCATTCTCTCACGCTTTTAGAGAATCAGAAGAGGTGCTGTGAGTTCCCCTGCAAGGAAATGGCATAGGGCTTCCATCTTACAGATCCACCTGAAGACTGACCAGGGCATTTTCCTCATGCAATTATTCACACTTACATTTTTACACTGATCTAGTTCAGTCGTTCTTAAACTGGGAGTATTATGGCTTTATCTTTGGGGTATTGGAGCAATTTGTAATTGCTCATTTGTGAGTTGAGGATCCAGTTTAGGAACTGCCACTGCTATATTTCATTATTTGAGCATTTTACAGAAATCAGGCCTTTGGGGATGGGAAGTGGAGAATCTTTGGCTCTTTAGATAACGCTGATTGGAAATGCTAGCTAATATAACCATTGGGTAATCCTAGAAATTATGGTTCAGCTATCTTTGGATTACTGGTTTCTCATCTGAACTAAAGAATATCACCTTTTTTTATGAAAAGAAAGCTTGATGAAAAAAAGAAGCCAGGTGCCCCAGCTATGTCTTCAGTCTTCTTCAAAGGCCAAGAAAAATATTCCTAGCATATAAGTCTGTCATAAACAGTTCTCATTATCCTCCTTTCCCATCCAACCCCACCATTAGCAACCATAGCTGTCCCAACCTCTTACCTAGGTATGCAGAGTCAGGAGTGGACCTCAGGCTCTGGGTGGGTGAACGGGCACTCAAACCATGGGTGGGTGAGCCAGGCAAGCTATCACTGGAGGATAAGGAGCGATTCAAGGATGATAAGCTACGGCTGGTGTGCAGCAAATTTGACTGTTTGGTGATCTTGCGGAACAAGGAACTGCGCTTCTTGCTGCTAGAATGAAGAAATCACATTGAGCAGGGCATTACACTAGATGAACTCCCAAACCCCAATGAACATAGAGGGGATCAAGCTATCCTTGATACACCTTACTTGTTCCTTTAGTTCCCCTCCCATTCTCTCTATGCAGCTCACCTCTCCTGCCCTTCTTTGCTGGTGCTCCTCTTGTTTCTTCTAGCCATTTTGGACTTGTAGCTGCTCTTGCGGGCTGGTCCAATCCGGATGGAGGTGTTCTCAAAGGGCGTAGTAGTCACCATCACCTTATTTCCACTCTAGGGGAAAGAAAGGTAAGCTGGCTGTAGGAAAGTAACAAAAACACAGGGTCTCGGCTCCATCAGAGACTCTCCTCATTTCTTGCATACTTCTGCTTACCTTTAGGATGAGTTCCACCACCTCAGTGTGCACCAGACCATGTACTGGCTCTCCATTGACATGAGTAATGAGATCCCCTGCACACAGACCTGCCTCATGGGCTGGACCCCCTTCCTCCACATGCTGCCAAGAAAAAAGCCAAGAGAATGTCTCTCAAGACTGCTGCCTCCCATTTATTCATAGGACAATAGGTTCATCGTTGTGACAGGAGAGTCCTTGCAGCTAATTTCTATCTCATTAGCTATAAGGCTCTTTCTTGACCATTTTCTTATCCAGAATGTCTTCTTACCCAGACAATGTGATCCACGCTATACACATCGCTGTCTCCCAGATACACACGGATGGCACGCAGTGTGAAGCCATACTTCTTGCCTGACCGCTGGATAGTGATTGGTGAGCGCAAGCTGGTGACCGCAGGAGAGTAGTCTCGGGATGGGGAGGAATCTCGGGATGAAGGATTAGAGGAGAGTGATCGGGGAGACATTGGGCTGGCCAGTGGTGAGCTGCTGTGCTGCTCCACTGAAAGGAGAGAGCAAAAGAAAATTAAGGGGTAAGCAAGATGCTTTCCATGGACATAGAGGACAAGCGCACCACAGGGCTCTTTGCTTCCCTGCTGTAGTAACTGGAGACCAGTTTCTTGGGGGCATTGGCACCAGCCTAGCTTTACCCTTTTATTATTTTCTGCCAGCTCCCAGGACATTTTGGCAAGGGAGTGGTACAGAATTTAGAACACTGGGGAACTACTGGAGGACAGGTAACATTAAAAACTGGTCAGTAGAGGTTTTTTAATGAGGAATAATAAGTGTTTTTGCAGGCTCCAGAGGTTAAAAAATATCCAATACAGATAGTCCTCGACTTATGACCATGATGGAACCTGCCCATTATGGTTGCATGTTGCGATGGGCTGCAACAAGGTTCTATTTGCTTGTGTAGTTTCTGGAGCCTCCTTAAAAAAACCAGACCCCTTACAATCTTGTGAGAAGGTACTACTTGCTTGCAGAATAGCATGAGAATGCTGAGCTTCACTTTGCATCACATCGGCTGGGCTGTGTGCTGGTCATTTCTGCTAACTGGCTTTAGGCTCCCTTGTGTGGCTGAGTGGCCGGCTTGGGAGCAGGCCGAGCCTTGCAGGGACCCAGTGGGATGGGTGAGGGTGATAGGTGGAGCATCCCTGTGGTCGATGGTAAGGATAAGCAATGGTGAGGGCATTTGCAGCAGCAGTAACTTTGAAACCAGGTCATATAAGCATCTTTGGGGGGGAGGAATCTGTTGTAACTCTGAATTGTCGTTAAGCGGCCAGTCATAAGTCGAGGACTACTTGTATGTGTTTTTCTAGCTGGAAATGTTTCCCCAGGTAATGTATCATTGGGATATTTCGGGTGACCCTTAAGTACATAGTACCAACCACTGACACATACAGGCAATTACAAGGGCTGAGGGCATGGTGCATTTTCAAGCTGCACATAGGCTACCCTGGCACAAAATTCAGCCTTCCAGTTTCTAGGTGTCGATGACTAGAGAGATACAACCGAATGTGTGCCAAGCGAGACCTCAGTGGGTATGACTGAATCAGACTCTTGCTACTGGTCAGGTGAGGTAGTTTTGGGTGCCTCCCCCTAGCTTATTTACCTCTTCTCATAAGGAACAGAAGCAGAGGATTTGAACAGAAAAGATCAGCCATGCAAAGAACATTCTATCAAGCAAATCTGCTTCATTTGCATAAACCCTACAAAGAGTTGCAGCATCCCACTTCTGTTGTGACAGGCTTTTTGCAGAATACATACAGCCCAGCAACTACACTAGAAGAACCAAAGGGCAGGGTGGGTGGGTGGAAGAGATCATGCAAAGCCACAAGACAACCATTATGGGGACTCTACTGAACACAAGTTTGGTACTGATTCCTATTAGAGTGGGGAGAGAGAATCCCTGTACCAAGGAAATGGGGGACTCTAGAGGAGCTCAGTGCTCAGGAGGGTGAAGGGAACATGAAGGACACAGTGCAAGAGAGGGCGGGGTGGGTGGGTGTCTTAGGCCAGTGGTCTGTGTGGTGAACAGCCTGGTGGGGCAAAGACAGAAGGTGACTGGAGGGTGTTCAGTGAGCGTGGGCGGGTCAGGCTCAAAGGAGGATGCCATTTCTAGGGGTCTGGGGAGTGTGTGTGGGGGGAGGGATGAAGAGGAGGAGGAGGGGGCGTACCTGTGGGGATTATGACCGACAATGCAGTAGCTGAGGCAGATTTGATGACCTTGCCCCCTGTGCGGGAGCTGCGCTTCTCAGCCGTGGCGGTGTCCCCTGAGAGCTGTTGGTGCCGGGCCCGACGCAGCACCAAGTCATTGGTAGCTCTGGGGGCAGATGGGTCCAGCTCTTTGGGGGGCTGTAGCTCACCCGCTTTTGATTTATCGCCTATTGGGGAGGGGAGAGAGAGGGATGATGACTCAAGCCCTAGATCACAGGACCACACTCAGGGAACCCCACCTCCAAACAAGAGCCACAGGGCACCACCACATGAACTGCCCACCATCACCCCCTCCACCCCACAGAGGGCATTGTGAGGATTACAGATCAACCCCTGTTCTTTGAAGGACCACTGGCAAATAAACCATAATGCTGCTCCTAAAACCCTTCCCACAACAACAGTCTTCATCAATCTGATGCTGTCCGTGTGTTGCTTCAGAATTTCCAGCCAGCATCATCAAAGCATTCTGGGAAATATAATGCAGCAGGTAGCAGGATTCAAGAGAAAGTGGAGATGGTGATATGAGTATGCATGTGCCTGTTTGCGTGCATGTACACCGAGGCTTTATCTGCATCATCACGTAACATGAAAGGCTTAAGCTTAGGTTTCTGGGCCACATTCTAAAAGGAGTGTTATGAAAAGGAATGACAAATGATGGCTGACCCTTTAAATGTTGAAATGTGCTTGCCTTGGTATTGCTATTGCTAAACAGTCTCGTGGTCTGAAAGAAGGTGCTGTTGCACAAACTAAGTTGCCAGAGAGTCAAAGCTGTGCAATTAAGATTCTTGGGCTGCTAAACTCTTAGAAACCTTGTCTTTTCTTTTCTTTTTTTTCTGACCTCTTAGAGAGCATGTAAAGGGATGGAATGGGTCCTGTTTATCCCCCTTGGGACTCATCACCAAGGATGTTGTTAAGTGGTTTGTGCCTCACAACTGTCTCTGTTCCACAAAGGAGCAGACCATCTCTACGCCAATTCTCAGGACTTTTGTAAAGCAGAGCTGGAGTTTAATGGTTGGGAAATCCCAGCTTGCAACCTACCCTTCAGGGGACTCCAAATTCAGAATGGTAAGTGATGGCAGCTTCCAAAAATCACATTACGTTTGGAAGCACCAAACACTTACAGCAGTCTATTGCCGTAGAGTAACCAGGTGAGGAATCAAAAGCCAAGCACAATGGAGAGCAGACTTCCTGTTCAGACAAGAGGCAAAGCTTGTACTGTGCAGAGTTTCTTATTAAGCATGTCTCCTGGTTCTCTTTTCCCACATTAAGACACCTTTCTTAACAGCAACATGATGACAACATGTAGGTCCAATCTTTTGATATAAAACTCAACTATGATATAAACTATGCAAAATAAACACCATCATATTGTAAATAAAATGGCTTCGGAAAGGTACAAGGCCCTAAAACTAAATCACAAACCCAATATCTGCTAAAGGGAAATAAGCATGACTGAGATAAAAATAAAATAAAATGGGTTGAAAGGACACTGTCTTTTTAGGGCTGCTAATATGAAGAGAGCACTTTCTTACTTCTGCAGAAGTAAGGCAGCATGAAAGCTTTTATACATACATACATACATATGCACACAGTTGTAAAAGGAACTGTTGCGTCACTCAATGCCACTAATGTTTGAAGCCATCCCTCTCAAAAGGACAAGAAGCAATGGTCTTAAGAGCATTCAAAAACTTCCATCTCTGGATGTAATGTGTGTGTGTGTGAGCACAATTCCTGCTTTAGGCATCACAGTAAAAGGCCAAATTTAATATTCATTGCCACTATTCTGATACGTTGCTTGAACATGCACTTCTTGCAACAGCTGTGCTACCAGGGGAGTGGGAGCCAGAGCAAAAATATGCATTTTCTCAAGCCAAACCCTGCGGCAGGCATTCTGGAAATTTACTATTTCCTCCAAACAGATGCCTACGCTGGGGAACAAATCGTTGAATCCCCACACTTGCTGGGATCTGGGCATCCAGGTTGTAGTATCTACTGGAAAGACAACCAGACTCTGAATAGACATTTCAGGTAAATACTGAAATGAAGCCCGGAGGCTTGGAAACAGTCAAAGGTGACTCAACCTACACTATCCAGGTGCTGTGCTATCCAGTGAAATGAGATCACTTTGACCAAGAATGCTACTCCTCCCTAGAGAATGGAAGGGAGAGGGATTTGTGGCCTAGAAAAGAGGTGAAAAGAATGATGATGGACCAAAAACTGGTTTAAGCCATAGTGGAGACATCCTGCAACAAATGTAGGAAACCTTTGACTCTGGTTTATTTTCTTAGCCCATCAAAGCCACAGGATTTTCTTTTTTATTTTCTTTTTTTTTTTGCAAATGGCTACCTACCTTGCCATAGTCTGTACTCACCTGCCTCAGTCTCCACAGGAGCAGGACCCTGTGCAACATCTCCTGCTCCCTCCTTGCTCTCCTTGCCTTCAGACTGAGGGGTGGCTCCTACAGGCCCATTTTCTGCAGGAGCCTTCAATGGTCCCTTGCCAGGAATCTCGTTGTCACTTTCCAATGGCACAGCAAAACGGCTGGTATCCATCAGGGCTGAGAAACGCCGTCGGGCTCCCAGTGGGGGACTCGAATCACTCTCGGTGTATGATGACTCCGAGGCCGAGAGTTGCTTCCTGTAGGACAGAAGCCAGCAAACTGACTTAGCCTCGATATGTTTGGACCAAAGGTTGTTATGAAAAATTCTGCCAGGGTTAACTGAAGTCCACAAGTTTCACCAGGACTGGTTCACTGAATCTCAGTTTGGTTCTGCCTTGGTCAGTGATAACAAATTGTAATCAGTGAGGCTGAAACTGAGCCCATGAACTCTCCTCCTCCTCCTCCTCCTTTTGGTTGCTTTGCATCTTTAGAGTTAATACCGTGTGAATAAACAAGACCTTTTAAAATATGACCTTCCCTCTTAATAAACGTATTTATTACACTTTATCATTAGGTTTTTTTTTTCCTTGAAAAGCCATCTAGGTTTCATTGGGACAGATAGTTTCTATTTCTACTTGTATAGACATTTTGACTGAGTTCTTTTTCCTTTTCAATCAATTTTTTTGAAATAAGAAAACATGTACAAATGAAAGGCAGCACTTTTCACACCTCTCACGTTTCTCCCCCTCTCCCTCCCTCACACACACAAACTGAGCTGCTGCTGATTATGCTAGATATATGATCCATTTTCTCAATGCCAAAAGTGTTAGTTTCCACTGCCACATCACCAAGGATTTGAATGTTCAGAAAGAGACCTCCCATCCCTTGTTGCCGCATAGCAACAGCCAGCTCACCAGATCCACACTGACCTTCTCTTTCCCTAGCCACCCTAGATATAACCCTCCTGCCCTGGGAAAGGGACAGTCACTGCAGAACAGCCCAGGTGAGACTCACATTTCTGGAGAGCTGGTGCGCCAGCTCTTGTCCCGAAGCGTGAAGCTGCCGAGGCTTTCCCGTTTGCTAAGCCTGTCGTCTTTGTGTTTGTTGCTCTGATCCCGCTTGGTGACACCTGAAGTCTTTTGCTCATGCTGGGATAGGTGCTCCATACTGCTGTACACCTGGAATAAAAGGGCAAAGAAGAAGAGGAAAGAGATGGGCTGTACCAGTTTAATGAGAAATATTAATGGAAGATACAGTATATGACACAATCCAGTCACAATCCTAGCCACAAGCCACAAATTCACCTCCATTCCCAAGATAGGAATAAAAATCCTCTCCCCAACACAAGAATTCATGATGGGCCTTCACACCCTCCTGTTGGTCAATTCTCCCACTTTCCAGTCTATCCCAGATCACTTTTTCCACCTATCAAGGAGGAAGGAAAATCTCAGTAAGAGGTCATGTAGAGAAGTGCCCCCCAACCTTTCTGGCTCAGTGGACTGGCAGTGGTTATGGAGGCAGTGACAGCAGCAGTGGGGGTGGGGGAATGGTTTCGCGTGTGTAACCTAGATCCTGCGCATGTGCAAATGAAGCTTTGCGCGTTCACCCAGCACTTGGGTGGCCCAGTTCCCAACAGGCTGCAGACCAGTAGGGTCTGCAGACCAGGGGTTGGGGAGCCCTGACATAGAGAATTGGCCAGGGCCAGAGAAACTAAACTCCCCTCCCCTGTCAATCATCTCCTAAAACTGGACTCCCCTTAGACACAGATTATCTCAGCAAACATGGAGGTAGGAAAACACACAGCAACTTATATGTGAGTAAAAAAGTATTTCATAGGATTGTGGGACAACTATCCCCAATCCATGCTTCCTTATGCTTCTTTGTAACATTGCAACCTAAAATATCTGCATATCCATGATGTAAATTTCAGACATAATCTGTTTTCATTTCAACCTTGTATAATCTTTTGGACAGGGCAGGCTAATAATAAAAGCAGCAGAAGCATCAACCATTTCACAGAATTATTCAAGTGTCTGCACATTTTATCTTCAATCTTGACTACAGAGTTTGAGGCATTATTTGTTAACTTAAAAAAGATTTAAATATGCACTTTAAAAACAGAAAAGATTGTCTTGTGAGATGGGTGGCTATGCAGATATGATATAATAAACAAACAAACAAACAAACAAACTTAAAATGCAGGTGAATAAACCAGGATATGAATCTAAGGTATTGTGGCTCAAAGTTGGCTTCCCTATTTTGGTTTTAATGGAAGCCAGTAAATGTAGTTTCTGGTTTGTATTTACTGGGAACTATTTGTAACCTGCTCACACATCCCATGGTTCTTACAAAGCAAATAGCAAACTTTGGTTGCCCTAACACTTTTCCTATTTCAGTGATGAATATGAATCTGGCACTCTCCAAGTTGTGCTATAAACAACTGGATGGGTGACAGAATGCCCATTCCTGCTCTTTATATGTACTCCACAGCATCCGTGCAAAGGTGTTACAAATCAATTATTAGATTTTAAGCCCGTTTTTATTTTGTACAACTACAAGGGGCATACATAGTGCTCCCTCCTCTTATTTTCTCCCCAATAGTCACCTCTGGTTGGAGGAGGGGGACCGACTGGCACAAAATTCACCCAGCCAGTTTTCATGCCTAAGGGAAGACCAGGACTCAGGGTCTCCTGGAATTTCGTCCTAATCCTTTATTCTCCTTCTTTCACACCAAAGTGGCCCTCAGAAAGAATTGCAGTAAATAAGGGCTTTACCTTGCTGAATCTGGGAGAACAAGATGAAAACTGGCGTATCTCCACTGGTTCATCTTCAGTCGTATCTTCATCATCATAGGAATTAATGTGGTGGTAACGATCAGAGCGGGCTAAAATGAGAAAGAAGAGCTCATGAGGCTCACAGAAATCCAGATGGTATAACTTCTGGGACTTAGCCCAATGATTTTGCTTCCCTGTGCCCACTACTTAAGTGGCCTTAGGTAAACAAAATCTCAGTACAGGGTGCTCTTTCCCATGTGCCTTGAAAGAGTTCTCTTTTAATGTCTCATAACTGACTGGACTACAAGAACAATAAAAGTAACATTTCTCCTGTCAGAATCTCGCAGATCTTGTTTTCACAAGACAGTCAGCATCAAATATCAGAGAAGTTGATAGATATGCTTTAAAACTTTTCCAGGAATAGAGGCAGTGTCTTTTCGTGGTGCCAGAACATTGGCTCTTAGTTCAGCACCGGTGTCAATGGCTGCCAATTGCTGTCTAGGAAAGCGTTTTTCAAAATTAACAACTTTTACAGGTAGTCCTTGACTTACAACCAGTAGCTTAACAACTGTTCAAAGTTACAACAGACTCAAAAAAGGTTGCAACTGCCGCACAATCCCCAATGGTCATGTGATCACATTTCAGGCACTTGGCAACTGGCTCACACTTACGACCAGTCATATGATCATGTTTTGGGATTATTATTATTATTTTGCTGTTTTCTGACAAAAACGACCTATTGGATAAGCCAATTTGGCTTTGTGACCACATGATTCATTTAATGATCATTGTAAGAATGGTCATAAAATGGAGTCCAGTCACATAGTGATTCACATGATTGCAATGACTGATGAGTAAAATTCTGGATTCAACTGTGGTTGTGAGACTACTGGCTGAAGATTCTGAGAGTTGAAGTCTAGACATCTTAATGATGCCAAGATGGAGAAACACTGTTCTAGGATGTTTTCCTGCCTTTCCTGGAAATATTAGGCAGCTATTCTGCTTGGCAAACAAGAATGCTTCCATTAAAGCTACATAGCCTTCCACCCCCCTCCCCCTTGTTGTGGTCCTTATGAATATTGCTCACTCATACCTGCTATTTTATCAAGAGAGGAAAGAAAATCACAAGAATACTTGGGATCTTTCTATAAAAGCCAGTCGAGTGATGCTGATTTAAAGGTGTATGGTCAGGGACAACTAGGTAACTGTCTTCAGCAGAGTTCAAACTATTAACTAAAATATTCAGGTTGAGGCAGGGAGAGAAAGAAAAGTTAACACTTGCTGTCAAAATAGCTGGTGTCTTCCTCAGATTCCAGATGAGGGATGAACTCCGCTTTCTGCCTCAGAAGCCCATTCCAATCTAGTTCTTTGAAAAATGCATGCTGTTTCACTTCATAGGCGCCACCTGTGTAAATGAAGGAAAACAAGGTTTTGCTGTCCTCTACTGGACAAGATCAAAACTCACCCTAAGAAAAAAGAATGAGCCAAGGAGCCACCGTAGTGCTTAGCTAAGAAATTTGGATCCTGTTGCCAGAGATACTTTATAGAGAGAAAGGATGGGGAACTGGGGATGCTTGCTATGGCCATAGTTGGTCAACTCTTTGAAGCCTAAGAGGAAAGAAAAACCTCTTTCCTTATGAGCTGGAATGCTGTACCCATAGCTCCTTCCCTCTCTTGTCTGACCTTACCTGCTCCCAGGCGGAGAAGAGGATTGGTTTGCAGGAGGCAAGAGATCAGATGCTGAGCATCTGAGGGGAGCGCCTCCTCTCCTTCTGGCCACAAAATGTCATCTGAAAGCAAGGAAATAAAGACAGGCTGTTGCAATCGGATAATGGCACTTGGGAAAGCAGATCAGGTGGAAGAGGCTCCAAAAGAGGAGGGGTTATAAAAATAGCTCTTCCTACTGAGGCTGCAACTTAAATGATGTAATTTAAGAATACAGGGTAGCAGGAGCTGTATCTCAAAACATTGGTTCTACACAATGCTTCCCTCACAATTTCATGTTGCTCTTTACTTCCTCCATTTTATTTCTTTATCCAGAAGAAAAGCCACCTGTGACTTCATGGAAATGCCCATGTGGTCTTCTTTGCAAAAATATAGTAATTTGTATTTCCTCTGCCTTTTTTGGGGTGGGGTCAGTTTAGTCTAAAATCCACCTACAAACTTGGAACAAATTCTAAAGTAAGTAACCAATGATCCCCTAAGAGGAGCAACATTTGCTCTACGTACCAGTGATGACCTGGCCAAACAGCTCTTCAGGAGTGTCTCCAAAGAATGGTACACAGCCCACCAGGAATTCATAGAGGATGATGCCCATGGCCCACCAGTCCACTGGCTTCCCATAACCTTGGCGAAGGATCACCTCAGGTGCAATGTATTCGGGGGTCCCACACACCTGTTAAGATACTTGTCTTTATTCAGCTGTCAAAAATGCTGATCCACTGAGTGTCAGGTATCTCAAAACTTGCAGTGCATGGTATTAATTGGGTCAAATTAAATATGGGAACACTATAATTTTCTCTCTTACATATAACACAATTTGACATTGTGTTTTTTTCTAAGTATAGAGGTACAGATCTGTTAACATAAAGCAGTAAACAAAGCTTTTCTTTGATCATTAAAAAGTCAGTGTGCCAAATAGTTAAAGTCCACAACAGATATTAAAAAATGAAAAAGATTGCTGTCAGTTGCAATTTTTTTTTATTTGATTTATATACCGCCCTACTCCCGAAGGACTCAGGGCGGTGAACAGCCACAGATAAAACACATAAATACAAAATTTAAAAGCAAAGTAAAACCAAATTAAACAATTTGGCGCAAGACGGATTTAAAACCCCAATAATTTAAAACAGATTAAAATTTACATTTTAAAAAGGGAAAAAGGGAAAAGATGGCCAGGCCAACCTGATGGAATAAAAAGCTCTTAAGAGCGCAGAGGAAGGTGCGCAGATCCGGGATCCTCCGTATCTCTGGGGGGAGCTCATTCCAGATAGTAGGTGCCCTCACAGAGAAGGCTCTCCCCCTGGGGCCCGCCAGTTGACATTGTTTGGCCGATGGCACCGGGAGGAACCCCTCTCTATGAGAGCGTACCGGCCGGTGGGAGGCTATTGGAGGCGGTCCTGTAGGTAACCAGGTCCTAAACCATCTTGTATCATCTTGTATTTTGTATTATCGTGTATTTTGTCTCCCTAGTCCTCTTTCAAGTGGCATAAGGACTGTGCAATACTTTATAACTTTTCTCTATTACTGTATTTCAAATGAAAATACATAACCTCAGAGCCGGAATAAAAGAAATCAGAATGGAAAATCTACTAGATTTATAGTTATATTTATAGATTCAGCATGGCCTAGAAACCAGAAGACTGTGAGTTCTAGCCCCATATTAGGTATCAAAGCCACCTGGGTGACTTTGGGCCAGTCATTCTCTCTCAGACCAACCCAACTTGCAGGATTGTTGTGGAGAAAATAGGAGGAAGAAATATTAGGCATATTTGCCACCTTGAATTAAGAGGCGCAGTGGTTAGAATGCAGTACTGCAGGCTGCTTCTGCTAATTGCTGGCTGCCAGCACTTTGGCAGTTCAAGTCTCACTGACTCAAGGTTGACTCAGCCTTCCATCTTTCCGAGGTTGGTAAAATGGGGACCCAGATTGTTGGGGACAATATGCTGACTCTATAAACTGCTTAGAGTGGGCTGTAAAGCACTGGGAAGTGGTATATAGGTCTAAGTACTGTTGCTATTGCTACTAATAAAGTAATAAAAATGGGATAAAAATCTAATAAATACATCAATAATAAAATATCTGCATCACTGCTTTCATGGAATTTTCTGACAGCTTTAGCTTTTTGAATATCTGACTTCTTTCACATTTAGTATATGCACAGCACGACATTACAAACAGACTTAAACAGGGTTCCACCTGTTTGTCTAGAAACTCCCTGGCATCCTTCTCAATATGACCTTCATACAGGTTTGTGGTAAGGCTCATCAGCCCCATCTTGGAAAGACCAAAGTCCGTCAATTTGATATGTCCCATGGAAGTGATAAGTAGGCTGTGGAGAAAGCAGAGGAATAAACATCAGTCAGAGAGAACCAATCATAGCCACTTCCTAACATCAGTTAGAGAGAACCAATCATAGCCACTTCCTAAATACAGCTAAAGACAGGCCTGGTCTTTTAACTTCATACTTGTCAGGCTTGAGGTCACGATGGACGATGCCATAGTTATGCAGGTACTCCAGGGCCAAGACAGTCTCAGCAAAGTACATGCGGGCCATTTCTACAGGCAGAGCCCCAATGTTCTTCAACAATGTTGCACAATCCCCACCTGCAAAGGAAGGTGAAATGGTTAGGAAGATGGCTAGGATGTCATTCTATTTAGCCTATTTTGACTGAAACTTGCAGTCTCAAGAATATAAGAAGTGTGATTCTGGAGGCTGTTGTTTAGCCTTCTTTATCAGATGCCTTATAGGAAACTCACAAACAAAATGAGTATATAAAAGCTTCTTCAAGTATCTTTATCTGCACCTGATATTCAAACATATTGTAATCAGACATTATCTAAAAATGGGAGATAACAGTCTCGGTCAGAAGGCATGCTAAGCCAGAAGTTTGGGGGATTCTCAATTATTGGTGCATACCAATTTATTGTGGTTTTTTATTATTATGCTAAGCCAAAATTCTAGGGCTCATATTGATATGGTAAGTAGATGCTGATAGCCTTATTCTAACATAGGTGTTAGTTACCACCTTTAAAGCACTCCATGGCATAGGACCCGGGTACCTCCGAGACCGTCTTCTGCCACCAATAGCCTCTCACCGACCAGTCCGTTCCCACAGGGAGGGTCTCCTCAGGGTGCCGTCAACCAAGTTATGTCGACTGGCGGCGCCCAGGGGGAGGGCCTTCTCTGTGGGAGCCCCATCCCTGTGGAACGAACTGCCCCAGGAAATTCGTAAGATCTCCGACCTCCGGGCGTTTCGCTGCGCACTGAAGACCCTATTATTCCGCCAGGCCGGACTAACAACACAATAGGTTTTAAATTGGGATATTTAAATTTATTGGGGTTTTAAATCTGAGCCACTTTATTTAATTATTTTAAATTTTATATTGTTGTTTTGTTTGTGTTTTTAAACAGGCTGTACACCGCCCTGAGTCCTTCGGGAGAAGGGCGGTATAGAAATAAAATTATTATTATTATTATTATTATTATTATTATTATTATTATTATTATTATTATTATTATTATTATTATTATTATTCTCCATGAATTTGTCCAGTTACAACCTAGTAACAAGTTTACCTTCCTTCTTTTTTTTGGTAACATTTTACAAATGTATGTGTTATCCATTCCTGTATGTTTCTGGGTAGCAAAAATTCCACCGTCAAGAACATCAAAACTGAAAATAGAAGTTGTGAACCTTATTAAAATGTAATTTAATGAACAACCTCAACTACAATTGCCTTGCCATAGAAAAAGCGGCCTTGGTTATCAGTTGTGAACATTTTGAAGGTAAGACTAAAAAAAATGTCCCACTGAAAACATAGGACCAATTGCATGGGAATAGGTGGCTTCCAGGTAACTTAAAACTCCAGGTCTATGCCACATAAGACCTTGCACACCTGAATAGGTGTTTTAAGTTATCAGTGTTAACATCCATAGCTTTACTTTGTAGAGCAAAACTCGTAATTTAACAACAACCTATGTGGAGATCTGTATTATTGGCTACTACCTATAGGTTATGCAAACCCAATCGTAGACAAACCACACTCAAACTCAGTCCCCATTATTGAAATGGGAGTTTTTACAACCAATAGGCATCATTTTATATTTGCTTATATTCTGCGTTTTTCATTGTTCCTTTTCCTAAATAATCCAACATTATTAGCAAACTTGCCACTTTGTTTTCATCAGCTAATTTATGAACAAGTTAAAAGCACCAATCCCAAATACAGATGCACCGGCTACACACACTGTATGTTTTGTTCTTTGAGCCAGTTACTAAGCCTTAAGTGGATGCACCTTTTACCCCATAATTGTTCAATTTGCTCAGGAATCTTTGTCAAAAGTTATCCGAAAGTCCAAGTAAGTGGTATCTATTTGATAACTTCTATAACATGTTTGCTAATATTCTCCAGCCATGTTCATTCTTCTTCAGGAAAACCTATTCTATATATTTGACAATTCAGTCGGTAACCATGTTTTCCAGCAATTTATCTGTGATTTGCATTAACCTAACTGGCTTGAAATTCCCGAGAATCTTATTTATCCAGATTTTTTTCCTCTGGCTATTTTTCAGCCCTCTCCTAGGAAAGCCTGTAAGATGTTATTAACTATATATTTTTCGCCACAAGATCATCAATTGCACATTTGAGTTTTTTGAGATTTAAATAAAGAGCTTCCTATTTTGTCTACCCTATTTAGGTCCATGCCTCAGACTTACTTTCTGAAAGTATCAGTTCAGGTAGTTTTCTGCCCTATAGCTTCTAGAGGGAAAACAGATGGAAATAATTCATTCAGTTCTCTGCAGTCCTTATCTTCCTTCTATATTTCTTTTCTTCCTTTGTGATGTAATAGCCCAGTTAGTTTTTTCTGTTTTAGATGTAACTCTCATTATCTGTTCATTTTGTCCCCTGGCCTCTTTTATTATCTTATTTACACATAATTTGTAAGATAATGATTTATGGACTGTATTAATGGCCTACATGATTTCAAACCTTAATTTCTTCATTTCAAAAAGAATACAGGATGCTGAAATGTCTTCTGAAATTCACAATCATAATGTCTTCTACAACTTATCTTAAATTAAAATTGGACTAGCAATTGTATACAAAAAAGAATCCTCAGAAGATTTTTTTCTTGAATAAGAAACTGAAGCACCATCCTTAGAAAGTGATACCAACAGGATTAACTGCAACTCTTGGAAAACTCTTCTCAAAGTTTGACCTACGTTTATTTGTTTAATGAAGGATACATGTATTTTATATTTAATATTATTTGCTAATAATTATTCTTGGTAGAGTGTTTCTGCAAAAATCACATATGTAAATTTTAATATGGAATTTAAAGTGATTGGTGTGAATCTGTGATGCTATAGAATGAATCTGCTATCATGCTAACTCCTCAAGAAAAGAATATTTTTTGTGAATAAAGAGCAAATTAGATGTACCATTTACTCTGCTTGAATTTCTGTTTAGGTGTTTCTCCTTTCATAGGGAGGAAAAACTGCTTCCCCTCACCCCTCCATTCACTAAAGAGAGGAAAAATTCTGTTTTTTTCATACTTGGCCTATTTATATCAATCCTCTTGATTTAAAAACTCTTTTCCTGCCTAGTGGAATGGACTGGTTTTATTAATAGGAAAACTAATTGGTGGATAATGTGCTGTGATTTCTTAAAATTAAAAATAATTCTGACTGTATTAAAATGAATAAATCAGTATGCCAAAAAATGCAGTCCAATGGTCACAACAGCAGCCCTTTTGTAATCTTCAAAGCCTGTCTAGTATGACACTATTTTTGCAATTTTTTTAAGGTCAGGGGATGAGTCAATGAAAATGGTTGACTAAAGCTAGCCTGGCACACATTTTTGTTTGTAGAAGTTGTATATTCTTGTAATCCATTTCATTGCCTTAAATGTATTAGTTATAAGGCAATGCCAAATTTATTGCCATTATATAACTTTTGGTGGATTAAGATTAATATGAGTTTTCAGATGCTTTCCAGGCATGCAGTGGGTTAAAAGAGATGCAAATAGACCAAGTCAGAACATGGATCACTTGAGAATGAGGAAATCTGTAATGTCTTAGAAAGACAGGCTAATGGGGCTGACTGCAGTACAGAATCAGTCTTGTCTTCCTGGCTGAAGTTGCCCAATTCAGTCAGGTATGGAAAACCCATACCAAGTTCTCAAAGATTTTTGTAGTGTGGTGTCTGCATACATGTCAATTGATTTTCAAGTCCAACCAAAAAGGCAAGTTGGAAGAAAATGAATTTGTCAATGTCCCAAGCTTATTGGAGGTGATAGGAATTTATTGGATACTAATCCTCTTTTCTTCATATTTTTTCATCTCAGCTCTTACAGGTCTTCAAGTATTCTGAGACCGAGTGATCTCAGATCTCCAGACTTTTCGTCGGGCCCTAAAAACCTACTTTTTTCAGCTAGCCGGGCTGGCCTGATTCCATGTTGGTTTTAACGTTTGATATTGATTTTAATTGATATGTTTTAAATTATGGGCCAAATTTCATTTAATTAGTTTTAATAATTATTTTAACTTTTGTGTACAAATGTTTTTATTTTGGCTGTTCACCGCCCTGAGTCCGAAAGGAGAAGGGCGATATACAAATTTAATAAATAAATAAATAAATAAATAAATAAAATAAAATTCTCTGGTATGACCCTGCAAAGTCAGAACTGAGTATTTTCAACTTCTTCGAGAGGTTGTATCACATCATCAAAGAGTTTCAACAGGATATTAGACTATAACTAGGATGTGGACAACTTCAATGGCCATAATTTCCAATCTGGAAAGTTGTATTAAGTCAACACCTTAAGTAAGCTAGTTCAAGAATGTCTACCCGGATGGAACAGCTGATTTTCAGAATTGCAAGCAGAATCTTCCCTCACCTTACCTGAGCATTTCAGGGAATGAACATAAATTCTTCTTTATATAAGACATGTGCTTAAGTACTAAATTACGGCCACTTCCTAACTATCATTCTTTTAGGTAATCTATTTACTGACACATTCATTATTATATTTAGTAAGATATGGTATTTGTTATATTCTTTCAAATAATGTGCTGTTAAACTTAGTGTTTTCTTTATAAAATTCAGCATCCTAAGGCAGTCTTTTCAAATCAGCTGCTTCCAAATAGACTAACTTCACCCTATAATGCTGCAATCAGTATTGCCTATGTCCAAATCAGATTACAGAAGTTGAAGTCTAATATATTTGGAATCCAGTTTGGATAAAGCTGTAAATGACCTGTAATTTAGGACATATCAATCTAACCAATTCCCATGGATTGCTGCTAACATGACATAACTCTTGCATGATATTGGATGGAGATTGCTATAAAGATCTTGCATCTCACAGGTACCAACCCTTACAAATTCTGAGACTGCGTACCTTCAACATACTCCATGACCATGCAGAGGTACCGCTTAGTTTCAAAAGAGCAGAACATGCTGACCACAAAGGGGTTCTCTGCAAAAGTCAGAATGTCACGCTCCACAAAGGCTTGTTGGATCTGATTGCGCAGGATGAGGTTCTGCTTATTAATCTTCTTCATGGCAAAGCGCTGGCGGGTCTCTTTATGTCGCACCAAATATACAGCTCTGAGAGAGAAGAAGAAAGCAAAGGTCAGCAAGAGGCATTTTTAGGTTCTGCCCCAAAAGTCTATATTTGCCTGCCACAAAAAGGAAATTGGAGTCAATGTATCACAATCCTTCTGTAAACTACCTTTATTTTCATATTCTTTAAAGAAAGATTGCTGGGGCCTTCATATTTATTAGAGTTCACCTCCTTTTTCTGGTTGACTAAAAAAAAACTAACATTTACAGAATGCTTTGTACAGGAGAAAATTAAACATGGTCATACGCCTGTCTAGTATGTCACTGCGTTTTTTATTTACCAGCTGAGCTCTCATTTCTGGACTATCAGACTTTCCGTAGCTTGCCAAGAATTCTTATCAGTAAGCTAAACTGCGCATGTCCTCCACCCACATTCCTTCTCACACATTTTTTTCCCCTACTTCAAGTCTCCTTTGTTCTCCTGCCAAGAGGTCCGGCTGGTCCGGCAGGAACGTTATAAAAATGTAATTATTAGATGTAGTTTGCTACAGCACATTTTAAGATAGAAAAATCATTTTGGGCTACTACTCAGTGGGAAGTCAGAATCCAGAATTATCCTGGATTTGACATCTTGGTCTTGGAAAGAATATCTCCTCCCACCTATTCACTGACATTGTCTTCAGAGGTTCTCCTCCAATTGTCTATATAGCCCTAGAGATGGCAGTGTCTTCTTGAGGAATGTCTTCATCAGACAGGCTTGTTTGGAATCTACAGTATATTACTTTTCAATATCAGGTTAAATTTTATTTTATTTATTCAATAATCAACTAATCGAAACATTGAACTTGTTCTCAAAATCATAACCTATATTTCTGGCCTCTTTGAACCATTGTCCTAATTTATACCTTGATTTGCTATAACTGTGGAGAGGAGCTCCCTGAGCTACATTATCATTATAGAAACAGAATGATTGGCTCAAATAAATATTTGAAGCGCACGCGATTTGGAGCTGCAATGTTGACCCAGAAGCGAAGATCCTTTCCTGCAGCCGGTGGATCCAAGGAGCCTGATGCTAATAGTGCACTCACCCATAGGCCCCATTGCTTATAAGTTTAATAGTTTCAAAGTCTCCTTCTCCTGGTGGCTTCTTTGGCTTTGGAGTGGTCCCACGACTCTGCAATATTAAGCATTCTGAGTGTGAGGCCACAAATGGTCCATAAGGAGACAAGAATTTAGTTCTAACAGAATTTACCTTATAGGATGCTTTTTAGATGCAAGTTAACACAACATTTGAATCTGAATTCCGTCATTCAGAAACAGTAGTCATTTCATTTATAAATGCAGATATATCCAAATTTAAGAAGAGCCAAGTGCACAATGAAATACATAGTTAAGTAACAGCATTTAAGTCCTAATAACACAATATATATATATATCTCTGTTCTTCAGGAAAGAGCTACTATCATATATATGTTCATCACATTCTCACCAATAAAGAACAAGAACTTAGAACAAAGCTGCAAAACCTTTTCTAAGTTGCAAACCACAATAGATCTTGCAATGGCCACCTCATTCCACAAAAGTAGGGCTAAGACAAAGTATGAAGGAGAAAGACCAAAATTATGACTGATTCTATGTAAACTTTTAATCTTCTATTGAGAGTTAATCTTTGTAAGTCTTCAGAAAAAATTATGAAGCTCTAAGGATTCTTCTACCATTTATTTACATTATAATATGTTTGCATATTAAGGACTTAATTGATTCACTGTGATTTAAAAATCAAAAGTAAATTCACCATTCATATTTAATAAACTGAAAATGACACTGAAAACATCATGCCATCTGCCAATTTAACTCCATTTCCAAAGAGCAGCTGGTTAGCTTTCTAGTGCCTCTGAAACAATCATGCATTTGATGATCTTCCAAGGGGCGAAGAGGAGGTGGAAGAGGTTCCCTTAGTGTCTCTCTATTCAGCCTTTTCTGCCCAAAACAAATATGCCATCCCTGAATTATTAACAGATAGTTGTAAGGGAGAGATTGAGCAAGGGAAGCAGTTCCAGCCAGGGAAATAGTAAGATTCAGGAACAATGCACCCTCTAATTAATAACTAAGGTTAACATCCTGGACCTTCCACCACTTTCTTCTACTTTCAGCCTATTCCTTTTCTCTCACACATGCAGGTCCCATGTATAATCCATCTATCCTCTATCTGTCTGTTTTGTTTCTTGTCCAATCTCTTATGATCACTTCTCCTTCTTACCTTCTCCTCTCTTCCATCAGTCACATTCATAAGCCATCATTCTTGCCCAGGCTTCTTCCTCTTGTCCCTTACCCATCTCGTGCCTCTTTCATAGCGCTCCTCTCTTCCATAAGTGGATTTTTCTTCCCACCTTTTTCTCACCCATTTCTAACAACAATTGTTGCTGCCGCCACCACTGGGCAGAGCAATTTAGAATCAGTTTGTCGTAAGGAGCAATAGTAACTTTCCAACATCTTCAGCTGCACTATAAAAATCAAAAAGTACATTTTGCCAATAGTATATAGCCTCACTGACATCCTTCAAAGCAGAAATGGGCAATTTTCTTCAGGGAGAGGGTCATTATTTTAGATTATTTATTGCTTAGCCATTCTCCCCAAAATATTGTAGGGAACATAACTGAGACATAGGGTTCAGATTTTCATTAAAATAAAAGATAGATATAGTAATACCTCCAGAGGGGATATATACTTTAGATAGGAATTAGCCATAAAATTGCATAAATACAATCTAGGGGAGAGGTCACAAAAATGGGGCTAGACAGCTGCACACAGGAAGCCCACCTCTCTTTTAAATTGTAGCCGTCTTAAATGGCTAATTGAGTTGCCATCCCAGGATCTGCTTTCATCATGACTGAACAAAGGTGATTAAATTTCAGCACTTTCTCCAAAACTTTAACTGCCTTAAACTTTAAAATGTGAGATGTGAAAATCCTAAATCAGCCTACAGGTTTTACTATATTTAGTCAGTAGATCAATCAAAATTCGTAGTTGATTAACTAATTCCAAATTAAGGGCACATTTATTTCACTTTTTATTGATCAAAATATTAAAGATAGTCTTTCCTTGTAACAAGCAAAGCTGGCATTTGTTTACTACATTGTACATAATTTCAAACATTCTTCAACAGTTCAAAACCACATACACCGAGAGAGGTTGAAATATAATTAAACAAGTCCATGAGAGGTTTGGATGCATGTATTTTAGTTAACACGTGCCCCCCATTCCAAACGACCAATTTAAAAATAATTGTTGAAACTGAGGGAGGCTTGCAATATTGTAATTTACTGGATAGACAGCATTATTAGTTGCCCAAGGGGAAAAAGTAGGGAAAAGGTAATGGGTTAGCGCAAATCTCTTCCACAAGCAAAACCCAGCTTGGGCAGCTCTTTGAAATTAGGCTTCTGTTTTAGAAACAATATGTATTGTATCTTAATTAACCTTTCTAGAGCACTGTGTGCATGAAACCTAGGATTTACTTCTGCAAAGAAATGCAATCTATGTTGATTCTCTCACATGAATACATATTAACTTACAAAAGACAGATGTAAGTATATTGGGGGAAATTATCTTGGAAAGCTAAATACAGTATAAAATGAACACATGAAAAATACAATATAGTACATAGTGATTGAACAACACCACTTCCACTACCCAAAGCAACACTGTACTCTGGAGATCACAAAAGTTGTACTGCTATTTAAGTAGTACCCCTCTTCCTAAAGTATCCATATTATTGATGTCTAATTTATTTCCAGTTGCTGCCAGTATAGTATAGAACTTTAGATATAATCCTGAATTTCAAAGATTAGGACTTCTAAACATGGGCATCTGTGGGGAAGAAGGAAAGGCAAATGATATGTCCCTGGTAAATGCCATAATTTATGTTTTTGCATCGATACAGTTTTTGGGTATTATATCATTGCACATTTTTACTCAATTTCAGCTTGTTATGAAAATTTCTTTCTTCTTACACAAATGGGATGTTCCTCTGAGGCTTAGTAGTAATGACAGAATGCAAGTGAGGCATTTGCACAGCATAGTGAACAAATCACAATAAAGGTGAGTCTGTGGGAATCCCTGTGTGGAAAAAAAAACTGGCTAGGATGGGGTTGGCCAAGCTGACCTGTATACTGACCTCGGTGAACTCCTCTGTCTCAGGTGTGTTGGATCCTCCACTATCGTGCTCCTCCACATACAGCACATCTGACGACAACAAGGTTTGGGAAGAGCCAAAGGGAGAGCCAAGGGAACAAGGCTTTAGCAACCCCATTGTCATTTATGAAAGCACAGAAAGGGTGAAATCTAGACACACACAGAGCCATGCATATACACAAAGGCACATGCATGTGGTATAAATGGGTATATATGAAAGCTCCATGTGTTCTAATGGCAAATCAGAAGATTCGACCATGCACTTGCAAGCACATCTGCATGCAGCTCAACACACAGCAGATATGCAAAAGCCTCGTTATGCTGATGTGCACATATTGGCAATTTTACTCACACTCACAATGCAATATAGATGCACTCATGAAATCCATCTTAGAGAAATATATACGTGTATATGCACATATTTAACACTGGATGCAGATGAGCATATGCTACCTTGCCAGTGTGAAAATGTGCATTGACAAGCTGAAGCATTAAAAAATAAATTGTCCTAATAAAGAAACACACAACAGACCTTCTAGCACCTGGGGCCTTTGATCTACCACTTTCCAGAATTTGTATACAAATTCCATTACTACTTCTCTGGAAATCCAGATCATGATTCCTAGTTAGACAACTTTGAATAGGATCAACCACACATGATGAATCCATACAATGCTTCCACCGTGGAGAGGAAAAAGTGAAATGGAGGGTCAGTTTTGAATGGGAAGCCAAGTTGATGGAAAGGAGTTAACACCCCTCTTTTGCACATCAGTCTGATAAAATCCAGAGCCCAGATGCCTACAGCAAAGGTCCTAAAAATAAAAACAGAAGCCATTCCAAAAATTCTTCACATGATGCGCTGTTTGTTCTTAGTTTTACTCAGATGAAGCAAGCAGCATAATCCAGCCTTTGGAATCTGCCACCTGTAGTAATTTCACAACCCTGGATGTCATGGATTGGAGTATCAACATTTAGATAATTCAGCCCAATTCAACACACAAGAAATACAAAGTTATTCAGCTTGGTAAAAGTCTGAAAGGAGGGAAATTGAGAAATTTTTATGTTAGTGTCTTTCCATACAATTTTTTAATGGCTATATTGTATATATTTAGCTACAATTGAAAAAAAGACAATGGGGTTCTGAATTTCATTAAGTCACCCTGTGTATGTAGAAGCACTGGAGAAATAGTTGATGCTGTAAGATAAGGTTTACCATAACATTGAAAACTGAGGTTTGAAGTCACGATGAGAAAAGACTTGCTGTTCATCCAGCATTTTTTTGCCATGTGAAAGATTCCGATCCCTTATCATAACCGGACTTCTTCTACAATTAGACTGATTTTCCTTTTACACTATTCCATATGAATTTTAAATTTTTAAAAAAGTGTGCACGCTTGGGATTTCTTAATAATTAAGGCTTCATTATCAGCTTTTCTCTTGTTAATCTCCAAAAAGTGCCTATGTACTCCAGCACTCTTGAAAAGAATCCCAGAAATCATCAAATACAAGATGGTAATCCAGAAATTTACTAGTAGATGACAATTTATCTTCTTTTCCTTTCTACTGGACAGTTTGTTAACAAATTCTTAATAGCTCCTTAATAAATTTAACTTCTTTGTTAAGAATTTAGAAATATGCCTATAGGTTATCCTGGCTAACTTCTTTTTCCAACTCTGTGGAACTATTTATGTGTCTATTTATTTATATCTTACCCCCTATATAGAATAGGTAGTCAGATTTCCCTCAAAGATGCACAAGGAACAAAAATGGCCCAAGAATAAAGAATCATATTGAAGAAAATGAACAAATTTGTGCTGTGTGGAATCCATGTAATATTGAATTGAATAGTCAGCATGACAAATTGCCACATATCCAAAGGAGTTATGAAATGATCATGCTAATACATGCAAGAAATGACACACAAGTATGGTCACTTGACATATAACAAATATTGTGACTTGGATACATATACAGAGACAAGGCCACTTGGATAGCAGATAATTTTCGTGGTATTACCTGGAAATGGGTCTCGAGTCAGTCCCAACTGACTTATGATGTAACGAGGAATATCTGTCTTCACCAGATGTCCCTCTTTGGCATGGTCCTCGGCTGCTTCCAGCAAGTGGTAAAACTCTTCAGGATTAAACTCCTAGAGATAAAACACAGAGCAGGCCAGAATTAGGATTGAGATTAGCAAAGAAGAACTGATTTCAGGAACCAGAAAAGAGATAGCTAGGGAGGTGTAATGCTAAAAACAATGGATGTGGACCTGAGTAACAGGACTCACAGGATCCGTAAATTGAAACAGCTGCTGTTCCTCAGGCTAACATTACCCTCAGTGTTTTATCAGACAAGAAAGTACCTTGCAGCTAGTTTTTTTCCCCCTTAAGGATTTTTTTTCTGGAAAGAAAACAAGATGAAAATAGGAATGTGAAAACATTGATAATTATTTATGGAGGTGGTTATCTGAAGTGCTTATGAAATTCTGTGAATTAGGTTGGGAAATTTCATAGTAAAATCTAAACAGAAGCCTTTATAGGGAAGAAAAATAGTGAGAATCAAGAGGAATAGTTGCTAGAGTTGCTATGTCCTGAAATCCTTAGTAGACAAATATGACAACATTTCTCGTGGCTATTCCTTAAATCTGACTATAAATACAACTCCAGGAATGCAAATGCACACCAACATACTTAACAGACAAATCAAGGAGTAGTTTTGGATAGCTAAGTAACTTCATTCAAATATGAAGCAGCCCTAATTATGATAAAGAACAGCATCAATAGAGTATACAGTTCTGTCTGTCTGTGTATGTGTGTTTACATATGCATGAGTTTAAAACGGTTTAAAAGGTTTTTTTCCTGCTTTTTTATTTATCAGGTTACTTATAGTCCATTTGGCTGTTGATGACAGTGGCACTGCATTTTCATAAATATCTTGTCTGTTTCCATGCACTGCATTTCCTATTGTCCTACCTCTCAATCTCATATTATCTATATGAAGCAAGGGAATTGGCAGTATACTTGTTTGGGAACGGAAGTCTAGGAAAACATGGGGCTTTGCAGGCCACAGAAATTGGCTAATCTGTGATATGCATTTTGAGAAAAAACTACATTTGTATAGAATCCAAACAATCAGACACCACACAACCAAGAGACTGGTTACTGCCTTCAATATTGTAGATAATGTATGGTGAACATGACAGCTGAATGCTAAAGGACCCCGACTCTATTCTTTTACACCAAGAGTATCCCAGCTGATATGCCAGTGTATGGCATAATGATCAACCACTGTTGATCATTAGGAACTGTTTATGTTAACAGCCATCAGTGAAATTTAATGTTAATAAAAAGTTGCTGTTACTGAGAATTTGATTTCAACCACTGAAACATCTGTAGAGCTGAATCACAGTAGATAAATTACAAGGATTTGTAGCAAGACTGTGACCTCGAATTCGCAGAAGTGGAGAAAGACTGCAAAGTTGCTAAATGGAGTCTCCATTTTTTGAGGGAATATTTCTCAAAATGCTGGCTGCTGAAAAGAAACAGTGGGAGAAGGCCTTGCCTGTTGGATTTCCAGAAACATTTGCGTTGATGGATACAAGATACTGACTCCCTTCCCTAATCAGATGATAGTTAATCCCTAACACTGAATATATGGTTAAAATGATCTATCCTATCATGTGGCACTTTATATTAGTCTTGCTTAGCCTGGCCTTGGGAGTTGAACTGAACTACAACTCCCATCATATCCTGCCATCATGCTGTATCTGAGTGGATTTTTAACTGATGGGTCTAGTAGGGATTACATTGGGGAAGATTGCTATGAGGAATTAAGAAACCTTTTTACAGCTCCGTTTATAATCTGACCTAGATGAAAAGGGGGAAAAAAGCAGAGAAGCTAAATAAACACAGCTAAGCATTTTAATTTTGTTTAAAAGAAAACCCTTCTGAAACCTATGTTTGAAACAAAAGCTTTGTTTGTCTCAATTCCAGGTTGGAGAAAAGGGAGGCATAAACAGGAGCCCCTGTCCGCCATCCTCCTCCTTCTGATGCTCCCATGTTTCTGAGCAGGACAACAAAGACAGCGTCAGCCTAGCCAATGCAGTGCAGCAACTGGCTGGTTGAGAAAAAGTGTTCTGTGATTGGCTGCTGTGTTGTCAAGGTAACGCACAGGAACCTTCAAAAGTAGTCTAAGCAGATACAAGCTGGGTTGATGATCTGAGCCCTCCATTGATAAAGGGTAGAGCCCAGATGGGGAGATAGAAGGAATTCTTGAGCCAGGTGGAAGCTTGCTCATGCTCAGCTCAGAACTGGTTTTCAATACCAGACTTAAAGGTGTATGTAAAGCAACAACATTTTATAAATTGGGTGTTTTAATCTGTGTTTCGGCCGAAATATTTAATAATTTTAAGGGATTTTTTTTAATATTTGTATTATCCGTATTTTATCTTGGCTGTTCACCGCCCTGAGTCCTTCGGGAGTAGGGCGGTATAGAAATTTGATTAATAAAATAAAATAAAATAAAATAAAATAAACATGGTGCTCTGCTTGGGAATTGAACTAGAAGAAGCTTAATTCCAGCTGAAAGAAGATCTCACTTCCTCCTGGAGGGCTTGTGATCATAGTTTTGGTGCTTAGGCAAAAATCCAAAGCGTCAACAAAAATTAAATCCCAAAGACCCATCATTGAATAGCATGGTGTACTATCCACATAGAGCTCTGCTGAAAATCCCATTTAGGCAAACAGCAAAACCACTTCTTTAAAATAAGCTGTTTTTTCATCAGTCTTTTTATTGAGGGCAATACTGTCTTTCAACAACTGTCACCAACGCTATTGAGAATCACTTTTTATAAATATGAATATCTTGAAAGTTTAAAACAATCTTCCGAATATTAACTCCAATCTCCCAATCTCCATATTAAACCAGCTGTTAGTAATTTCAAAGACCGGATAAAAATATGTCTTTAATAAACCAAGAAAGTAGAGACTGATCTAATTTCTAAAGAAAACAATTCCACATTTGGAGATAGGAAGAAACCTTTCATGCAGTCCAGATAAATGAGCCTCTAGGACAGGGGTGTCAAACTGGATTTCTTCAAGGGCCGGAACAGCATTGTAGTTCTCCTCCGTGGGCTGGCGGGGCGGGGCGGTGGGTGGGACAGATGCCTCCTGCAGAACTCTGCTAGCCAAAACAGGACACAGGGGCCCTCCTGCACCTTGTTTTTACCCTCCATGGCCCATTTTCTGGGCCATTTTTAGCTTGTTTTTGGGCCGTTTTTGGGCCAATTTTGGGGCTGTTTTCAGCTTGGTTTTTTGGGCCGTTTTGGGGCATTTTCAGGCTGTTTTGGGGCATTTTTGAGGCTGTTTTCTGCTCATTTTTTGGGCCTTTCTTCTATCCTTTTTCTGGCCTTTTTCTGGCCATTTTCGGGATTATGGCTACCTTAACTTCAAAATCAGATTGTATTTGTGGGGGGGGGGAGGTATCTATCATAACTTCAAATGGTCGCTAAACAACCATTCATAAGTTGAGGACTACCTGTAGTCCATAACTTGTTCAAAGCTTTAAGTGTTGGAAAATAATCAGTATCTTTTAACTTTGGAGTAATATAGTTAAACAATCATTTACTGGTTAGAAACCTAGCTCTCACATAATGAAATCACCAGACCTGCTCTTCAAAAGTACTGAAAACAGGCTGCTGCAATGTAAGTGTGATAAAGACCAGATATGTGTCCTTCCACTTATCACTCTGAATTATTTCCAAATCCTTTGATTGATTTAAATACTTTATCCTTCTTAATGGCGTCTCTTCCATTTTCTATTGCATAAATAATTTCTGAAAGCAGCTTTTCCCTGCTTCTAATTTGCTAGTCTTTAAGTTCTACCAGCATGGGTCATGTCTGTACACACTAGAAGCGAAAAGGAATAGCATGTCCTCAGATTTATTGGAATGAAAAATGACTCTTAACGAAAAAGCTTGTCTATCACCAAAATTACGTTCATCCTGCCTGGTTATTTGGTTCTTGTATTTTAAATCCTTTACTGCACGTTTCATTTTCTTCTTTTTAATAAGTTGTTTTAATAAGAAGTTTAATAATAAGTTGTTGTCTGACAACAACATCCATAAGAAAGTATTCAAAAATGTGCTCAGTTTTGCATGAGCCCAGTTTTTTGTTTTATTTTTCAGATATGTTCTCAAATGTTTGAAAGCGTGTTATTTTTTGGATTCAATGACATTATTAGCTAATGATGTTGCCCATTTCCTCCTTTTCCTCATGGCCTGCTTGCCAGCCTACCTACTTTGTCATCTTCCTCACATCTTTTCCTCTTATTTCCCCCTCAGCTGGTGCTGAAGTAGTAGCTGGTGTACCTCTTCTTCATGGTAATGTTCTCAGTAGTAAAGACTTCCTAAATGTCATAGCTCACTGGCCTCACGCAGTGATTCTAGTGTTTTCTTTCCCCTTCTGCCTGTTCTTTCCCTGAGCTGCTAATGCTGCTGCTGATGTGGATACATGCTGGGGCCGAGACCTTGGCTTTTTCTTGCTCTTATCTCCCACAAGCCACTTCTGCCCAGAACCATTGTTTTGATCTGTATCTGCTCCAAATAAAGACCATGACAATTCATATGCATGCATGAATGGAATGGAAGACAGCTGAACCAGGTGAGCTACAGTATCTTATCCTGTCTTACCATCTCAGTTGCTAGGACAAGGGGAACTCTTCACTCACCACTTTCTTCTGAATTCAGTGCAGCAAAGATAGCTGAAGGAAGGTAGAGGTTTTGTGTCATGTGTCTATCTATCTATCTATCTTTGTGTCTGCGTGTTTAAGAATGGGGTGTGTGGAGTCACTGTGCAGCCCACAGTGACTCTACAATATCACAAGCGAATTTTAAGGCCCAATGAAATAAATATAAACAAGAGGAAAGGAAGACCAAAATCATAACAATCTTCTTCCTAATTCCAATACTGCCATTTCCATACCTGTTAATTATGTGATGTTCCCTGTGTGGAATGTTTATATAGTCACTAAGATAGGCTTATGCTATGTATGTATATAAAAATCTATCGACAACAGGGACACACACTTTGGGTCCTTCTGCCAATTCAAAGCATACCAACACATATGCATGCACTCCACCCTTCTATGCCTCACCAGGCATTCTAGTAGGCGAGCTGGACGGGAGATGATAATGAGTAGCTTCTTCACCAGTTGAGTGACAAAGGTCACCTCTTCACTCTCAGAGCGTTCATAAGCCTACAAGCAACAAAAGAGATGGCTCATTAGTGGAGGAATTAGCCTGCCATTATGTAAGACCACAGCACTTACCAAAGCTATCTTGCCATGACCTCCTTATTGGAGCCTCTAATTCCACCAGCTGACTAGGCACATCACAGCCTTTCCAACTTCCATCACTAAAATCTATTTTTTCCTCGTAAAGGCTACTCCAAGCCAGCTTGCTTTTTCAGACCCCTTTTGAACTAAGCTGTCTATAAGTTTTATTCATATTTCTGATATTTTATTTCCCGGGCTGCTGACACTCACATCTTTCCACAGCTTCTCCATGTTCTCTTGCAACTCATAGAAATAGACAGTAGTGATGAGACCCTCCTGGGACTTGGCCAAACAATCTCGTGCCAGTTCAATTACTTGGTGGTGGATGAAACTGAGCGCCCCATCAGCCAAAGGCAACACACTGTCTGGCTCATAAGATTTAATGAAATCTTGTAGCTTCTCTTCCATCTGCGCTGTGGCCTATTAGGGTAAGAAACAATTCTTGCATAAAGTAAAAAAGGACACTCCCAATAACTCAGACTAAGCCCCATTTTTTTTAAGCCCAGAAAAGAATCTGAGAATCTTTACCCTCAAACTTTACACTGCATTAACCACACTGTCCAGATTATCAAAGAGAGAAAGAGAGAGAGAAAGAGAGATAAAGAGAGATAGAGAGAGATAGAGAGAGATATAGAGACAGAGAGATAGAGAGATAGATCTGGATCATAAAGCCATTCCTTTACTACTGTCTTTTTAAAGGGAATTAATCAGGATATTAGAGCTGTTTTCTTTAAAAAGTGTCTGCTCTATCTAGTATCAATAAACCTGTTGTCCTCTGACTTGGTTTCTTTTCTCAATTTTTTTCTTGGAATATTAAAACAGAGACAATCTAAAGTGATTCTGTTAATTCTCAAATTCATTTAAATGTCAAAAATAAGAAGGTGGGATGGACCCAATCTTTCTGCCTCCAGCTTGGCCGCTGCTTTTTTTTCCTGTGTAAAACAGTTTGAGCTTCAATGATTAGGCTCTCTTTCCTATTCAACCCTTACCTTGGGAAATCGCTCCTTATAAACATGATTCATCATTACTATCTCATTGTCATAGGAGGATGGAGACCGGCCCGGACTGCAAAAAAATAAATAAACCACAAATCAGTTGTTGGTGATAGTCATTTCTTTACACTTTCTATTTCCCTCAATTTTATTTGAAAATCTCATACCATGTTTATTTTACTTTATTCAATGAGGCGGTATATACTGTATTGCAGAGGTTGGCAGACAGCAACTAGATATGTACTAAAAGATACCTATATAAATTTCCACAGGTTTCTCACTCTAAACTATTTAATAATAGCAGTACTAGAAGAAAACCCTGCCTTCTGACATTAGATGATTGGAAAAAAAGAAACTGCATGGGAAGGATGGATGATCTAAGGAAAACTATTTGTGCAACATTGTTGTGAGTACTGAAAACAATTTTCTGGTTAAGTGTGTGCTTATCCTAAGTGCACATCCACCCTAATGAGCCAGTATTTTGCATCTGGAGTCCCAAAGGAGTATGGAGTAAGTCCTGCACCTGGTAGACCGGCAGCAGGTGGAGGGCGCGGGGTGTTCCGGTGCTTCCGGTGTAACCAGCTAGGACACCGTGCTGCCGAGTGTCCCATACCACCCTTGCAGCCCACACCGACGCGCACTCCACCGTCCGGGGCCAAGGTTCGGGAAAGGGCACGATCTACATCTCAGTCTACCAAAAAAAAAAAAAAAAGTAGATCCCACAACATCAAATAACCCTACTCTTAGTGCATTCACTTCCACAATCAGTAATCATTACACACCAGCAAAAGAGGGCACAAAACCAACGGTTAACAATAGGTAACAAGCTGGGATAAGGGAATGTCAGCTGGGATGGTAAAGCATGCAATGATAACCCCCATCTTATGTCCAGGTTACCATTTACAGCCGGCATGACTGCAATAAAAGATGAAACCTACAAAAATGAGATTCCTCTTCTGTTCTGAAAGTTTAACCTTTGATTAAGATTGTGCATAATAATATAGGAAGTATTGTAAAAAATATTGCCACCACTTTGGAAACAGTATGGCGTCCTTCCCCAACCTATTGTTCCTCAGATGTATGAGACTACAACTCCCAGCATTTTCAGCCAGCATGGAATTCTGGAAACTGTACTACCACATACCTGGAAGAGAGTAAATTGGGAAGGCTGGTAGAATGGAATTGCAACAGAGCCCTTTGATTATAGATGTATTTCACTAATTGTACTACAAGAACCTTTCAATACAGTTAGTTTAACTTTTCTTTCACGCTTCCGTTTTGGCTCATATCAGAATAGCAAACTGATCTTCTTAGGAGTAAGAGCTAATGGGACTTTGATAAGTGTACATAAGGCTGTCTCTTTGAAAATGTGAACTGCAATATATTTCATATTTACTGGTATAAGTGATATGTTGTATTATTTTGTGATAAATGATATGGCACGTTCTATTCCAGTGATGGCTAAACTTTTCAGCACCGAGTGCCCAAAGCATGCACGTGTGCACACCCATAATGCAATGCATGCACACACACGTGTGCCCTGCCCCCGCACATGCATGTGCGCCCGTGTGTGCCCCCTGCACATGTGTGGGTGACTCCTGTATGTGCACCCCACCCCTACGTGTGCACCCCATGCATGCACAAGCGTCTCCCACATGTGCAGCAGAGACCCAAAAACCAGCTGGCCGGTGGGAGGTGCATGTGCATGCACAGCAGAATTGAGCTGAGGCAACGGCTCACGTGCCCGCAGAGAGGGCATAGGTTCGCCATCACAGTTCTATTCCATTCCATTTTCTCTTTTAGAAAACTGAGTCCATTCCTTAAAACTATCATATTGCCCTTTTAAAAGTAGATCATGGATGATGCTATTTTAGGGATGAGGAGTATCTTAGATTACTTAAGAGATATATACCCATAGGACTTTAGGTCTGGTAGCAAAGAAGCATCTCTAATTGTTTATATTGGTAAAATTGGGGTAGACATATGTAACTTGCTTAAATATATAGCTGTTGTACGATGCCAGAAGGGGGTTGTTTTAAACTCTTCGGCATAAAGTGTCCCTTCAAGGTTGATAAGGGACAGAAAAAAGAAAGCACATCATACAGAATTGGTCATGCAGAGAGAAAAAAATTAGAAAGCAGATTTTCTTTGTATGTCATAATATAAAAAGTATTGCTGTTTAGGCTTGTCTTGGCTGCTCATCCTTACCTGAGGCTCCGGGACCGGGGCCGCACTGCAGGAGACCGCCGCCCCCCGTCATCATCGGTTATACTCTCAGTGCTGCCAAAATGCTTGGACAGGAAGTGCAGCTCATCCACAGTTGGCTGATAAGGCAGCTGGTGAAGGCGCTCTTGGGAGGAGCAGGATGACTGTGAGGAACAGAAGGGACAGAGTTGGCCATGTGACCATTCACCAATGCTGAGATGCAGCAATTCTATCGTGTGTGTGTGTGTGTGTGTGTGTGTGTGTGTGAGAGAGAGAGAGAGAGAGAGAGAGAGAGAGAGAGAGAGAGAGAGAGGAGAGAGAGAGAGAGAGATTTCAAACCTCACTGAAGTACAACTGTTTCTGGGATATATATCTCTAGTTCCTCTATATGGGACGTTCAGCTTTCCAATAAATGCCACAATACTTGGCAAAAAGCAAAATATAATCCAACTGCTAATTACAGGTATCCTTGACTTACAATAGTTCATTTAGTTACCGTACACTGAAAAGTGATTTATGACCATTTTTCACACATATGATCCTTGCAGCATCCCCTTGGTCACATGATCAAAATTCGGATGCTTGGCAACTGACTCATACTTATGACCGTTGCAGTGTCCCAGGACCACGTGATCACCCTTTGAGACCTTCTGACAAACAAAGTCAATGGAGAAACCAGATTCACTTAACAACCATGTTACTAACTTGACAACTGCTGTGATTCACTTAACAACTGTGGCAAAAAAAGTCGTAAAATAGGACAAAATACAGTTAAAAAAATATTTCTCTTAGCAACAGAAATTTTGGCGTCAATTGTGGTCATAAGTCAAGAACTACCTGTACATATATTGAAATCAATCTAGAGCTCTTTACATCAAGTCAGATCACTGGCTTATGCAGTTCAGTTCTGTCAATACTAACCAACAGGACTCTTCGTATTTTTGGTGGTAAGGCTACTTCTCCTTAGCAGTGAAAAGAGATTGAACTAGGGCCACTGGCATGCTACCCACATGATCTGCCACATGAGAATTAAATGCATGTTCATCTGTAACCAAGAAGCTCGCATGGCATTACAAACAGCGAACCATGCACAAACAGCATTGTAGAGTATACATGTGACTGCAGCCAACTCTGTGGAATTAGAGAGAACAGGCAGATCCAATCTGTTCCCTATGTTCCATTATCTCACCTATCAAATCAGAGAGCTTAACATTATGTAAACATTTTCCCTAGAAGTGCACTAATGTTCCTTAACAGCAGAGACTGAATCATTCTCTTTCCCTGGCCCGTTGGATGACTCTGTATTATGCAGAGTATACTGCATATAAAATTTTCTTGATGGTGTTGTTTGTGTGAGCTGTTGTCCTCTGGTGATGAGTGAGCTGGTTTTAACAATTTCTTCTGAACACATACATTATTTCTAGTTCTCTGGGTATAGTGTTTCATAAGCAACACTGGTCTATAAAAGAGCTCTTTTATCTAGTCCGTTTTTGTTTATCTTACTGATACTGTAGAACTTGGAGTGTTGGTTCCATATCCAGATGATGGTAGGGAAGCCAAAGACCAACGCCGGCCATCTGCCCTGAAAGTAACAAGGTGAATATAAAAATGAGAATACTCAAGATGGGATGAGGTTGGGGCAAATACATAATCTGTGTGACAACATCACTGGACAGATGCTGTGATATATGTACTACTATCACTGGGATATAAGTATATAACTGCTGCTTTTCAGACAGATTCCATCATCACATGTATCATTATCTTAATATCACTGTAATGCTCCAATGTCATTAAACTTTAAGTGACTCTAATACTTAAGAATGAAAGGCAGAATTAATCCTGATTAGAAAAAGCAATTTTGTCATAAATACAAGTTCAGTCAATTGTGTCTCATTTGCTGAAATGTCATTTACTGTAAATAACTACTGGTAATATCGACAAGAGGAGTCAAATTTAGCTTCTTGGAAGATTCTGGGCCATTTAAGTTATGTTACAAAAACTAGTTTAATCCAAAATGCTTTTAATCTAGGAAATCTAAGATTCTAAAAAGTCAGTTAGAAACAGCACCCATCACAAGATGTTAAACTGAGTAAATGCTGAGCTGTGATAAAAGTTTACTTGCCCTCTAAATCTTGGTCATATCAAAACCTAGGAGCTGATGTAAAATGTATAAGATTAATGCTAAGGCCATCAACAGCTGTGGAGGGTCATACTTTTATTCTGTTGAAAAAAGGATTTTATGCAGCAAGAAATAAGACAAATGGAGCACAGGGAAGTTATAAGATAGTTATGAATGGATGACAATATCATATCTCGCTCATATTTTAACCATAAAATATGATGAATGAGCCCCAATCTGTAATAAACCCTCACCAAATAAATGTAAATCTGCTTATATATCTCTAAGATTGCAGAGTGGTGCTTAAAGCAGCCTTCCCTGAACTGATGCTTCCAGATGAGTTGTCATTGCTCATATTGATCGAATGGGATAGCAATCCCACCCAAATGGAAAGCACTAGATTTGAAATATTAAACCAAAGGGTCAATATTGTTATATTCCAGCATGGATTTATACTTCTCTCCCCAGGCACATTTGTTCATCCTGACCCACCAGGGTTATACTGTGTCACCAGCCCAAATCTGTAACTGATTCTTCAGCAATATATCCGTATGTTGGTAAAACTATTTTAGTACTGAATGGATCTGTGTGGACAACGTTTCTGTGCAATAACTGAAACTTTTGACCCAAAGGTTCATGAATTTGCTTGCAAAGTTGATTTCCAGTCCTATAGGTCCTATATATCAAACACCTTTGGCTACCTGTTGTCCAGTATGAATCCGCATGACTTCCAAAAAATGTCATTTAAGATAATATCTGTAAAAATCAATCTATCCAGGAAAAGGTATGTGTGGTAAGAAGCACATACAATGTGTTCTTTCCTGCTGTAAGACATTCATGTGGCGCAAGTATTTTTAGGCAAGCACCCAGAAATGTAGAACATTCTGTCAAAAAAAAAATAATCTTTGTGATATAATAATGACTGTAATTTGGGTTATACTTCCCCTTTTTACTATCAATTAACCATATCAATAATTCACAATGTACCAGATTGCAATTATATAATTCCAATCTCTTCCATCTAATTTAATTACATAAACTTTATCAAGCATAGGCTTTACAAATAAAAAGCAATTTAAGTTATAAAAGCACTCATGCCTTTAGGTGCAATGCAAAAAATTGCAGAACAAAAATATGTAAACAACCCAGAATGGATTTACTCAATATTTTGCTAAGGGCCTGATGGAACCTCACAGTCTGTTCCTTTGGTTTTGTGGGTGGAGGTGGGCAGGAGAAGTTGTATGTGCCTGTCTATAAAAAGAGCAGAGAGCAGATGGGAAGTAGGGAGCAGATGGGAAGTTCTTCCATAACCTCAAATGTCCCTGATGGGATGGCTTAATAGATCAAATATTAGAACAATAGCCAAAATCCTGCATTCTCCTTCAAAGCTTACAAGAGCCAGGAAGCTAAGTGAACCAATAACATGACAACCAAATATGGAAAGTTTGTGGCTGAGAATGGTCTAATTCCTGTATTATAATGGCAGGCTTGAATTCATAAAGACCAGGCATCACCAAAGGAAGTGGTAAACATTAGAAGAAAAGAGGCAAATACCCAAGACTGCAAATACAAAGAGCATAGGAGTTTGGTCTTTTTTTATATATAAAAAGATTGTCTTTTTTGTTGTTTTCCAGAAGTAGACCAGCAACTTTCTCACTCTAATTCTGGCATGTCACTTTCCTATAGAGGAAATATTACAGTTACAGTCAGTTCTTATGGAATGCTAACAGCTGATAGGTAAAGGACTATAAAGGATGGATGACCAGTGAATCTTCTACGCAATTTATGTTTCTCTTGAGTCCCAGAGATGGAGGGCTCCTCTTACCTGCGGGAAGAAGCAAAGGAAAAGTGGGCTGGTGTGTTGGGGGAGAAATTCCGAGGACTGTCAAGGGGACTGCTACCTGCAGACAGGACAGGATAGGAACATACAAAATAAAATTAACATGTTACTGTATGAGGCTGCTATTGAACTATGACCAAATCAAATCTATTTCCAGTAGCCAGCAAATTCTAAAGTTTGAAAAATCAGTCAAGATGGTACAACAACCATTAGCTAGCAAGATTGGAAAGGGCATAGAGATGCTTGTTAAATATGAAAACAGACAGAAGGAAGCCAAGAAACAGAACACCGGATGGATGGATGGATGGATGGATGGATGGATGGATGGATGGGTGGATGGATGGACCAAACACAGCAATGGATTGTTGATTGAGTCTTGAATCAGAAACTAATTAGAGGAAAGATGGAAAATCAGGCCAGTGGACAGACAACTTCAGAGAGTTAGAAGGATGGATAAGATGGTTGTACAATATACTCTTTATGTAAATATATATGTGGAATAAAAAGGCAGATGCCCTGGATACATAAAATAATGAAAAAACAAAGGAGGAATAGGGTGTAGAGAATTACAGAAAGATGGATGCACCACTTAAGACCAAAACTGCTTATGAATAATTTTCATAGGACTACTTTGGAGTCAATGTCATGCTTACTGTAAACATACAGATAAACTCATAAGGATGAATAAGACGTGAGTGAGCATAAATTCAGATTTCTGTGGACATTTTGCCTCACTATGGCAAATAGGTACAACATAAAATTATGGAACACTCCACTCCACTCCACCCCACCACAACACAACACACACACATATCACATTTTGGTCAGTTCTGACAATGAGAAGGAATCCCACACTTTAAAAATGAGGGACAGAGCAAAGATTAAAAGACAAAGATATATGCCCTTGATTTTTTTTAAAAAAAAAAGGACATTGAATGATTCCTGGAGATAGGGACAATAACAATTGGGATACAGTGTGTTATTTCTCAGTAACTTATTCAGTCTAAACAGGCAGCTTATTTAAAGAACGGCTTCTTGTTCTTGTCTAGGCAGGAACAGAAAAGCAGGACTTAAAATGCCTGGAATTTTCTTGTGACTCATACACAATTTTGCAAGAGGCACTTCAAGGCTGGAATTCTTGGAAGAAGGAGGGCCAAGGGCCTAACTCACCAATATGACCTGGGAGTGGAGAGTGAGGTCGTGGCAGTGTTGGTGATGTACTTGTCAGGATCAGGCTTTTTCTGTTACTGGTTCGGCAGCTGTACAAAGAGCAGGAAAGAAGAAAGGCCTAAATCAGGGTGTGCATGGATAAAGAATGCCAACCAGGAAGCAGGCTCCTTAGAAGACCACAGATGGAAAACTTGGCCAATTCATTATCTCCAGCTCAATTTGACGGACTATTCCAAACTGTAGCAGATGGTTACCTTTTGCAATCTCCCACTTGATTATTAGCTCAGCAATGAAATATGAAGTTGGATTGTTCCACTGAGTCAGACCATTGATCTGCCTTACACAATGTTGCTTGTTTTGATTACTAGGTCTCAAGCTGACAATTTTCCCAGCCCTGCCGCTTGAACTCTGTTAACTGTAGAAGCTGAGGATTGAAGCAGAGACCTCTAAGTGAAGTATGACTTCCTTCTGGGATCTGGAAGTTTTATTTGTCAAGAGGAGCTACAGGAAAAAGGTTACTGTCATGGATCCAACATGATGTATGATGCAAACCTACAGCAATGGGAGGCCATTACAAATCGGAAAGACTTATCAACAAATGTTGCAAAAGTGGAAGGATTTACCAAGTTCCCTCATTCCTTCAACCTGACTTCCAACTGGAGCTCTAACACTAGACTCTCTCTTTCTTGCACTATCTCACACATATTTTTTTAAATTTATAAATTTAGGATCCATTCCTGACAACTAGAACCACCAGATTTTCAGCTTTTTTTCTCCCCTGAAAGACAAACAGGAGAGCATTGGCTGTTTAAGAAGCTCCATTCACAGTAGCAGAGCAAGGCAGAACAAAATTTTTAAATAATCAATAAATAACATTTGTAGGCATGATTAGCAGTCTTACTTTCTCTCTCTAAAGTGACTTAACAGTACCTTCCACCCATGGGCTAGAAGACTCAATTCCACACTTGTCATACCTTGCCATGATGAAGTAATTGTCATATTATATAATGCAAAATATACAATAAGCAAAGCACTCAAAACAAAGACCGTCTGCCAGAATATATACAGTATGTAATTTGGGCTGGAACTATTTAGATGTGCACCTTGACAAGGACCAGCTTGGATTTCCTTGCAGTTCCTCAGGTGCAAGTGGTTGGATTTTGGCATTATTCTGCCAGCTCTTGTTCAGTATTGCAAAAGCACTACAGTGTAGGTTACTAGCTGTAGACAAAGCTGGATGTCTGCCCAAGCCTGCTGCTGTCAGATCCTCAGGTTTGCATGGCAGCTCAGAGATTGTCTGGTCATTTATTGTGGGCTATTATTTGCTGATGTATAGCAGTCCTGATATCTACTACGTGTTGCAATTCCAAGCTGACAAAATATGAACAACCTGAATGGGAAAAGGGCAGGTAAGTATGTGTGATAAAAAAAAATGTCAATGCAGTTTGTTCTTCTATACTACTTTACTGAAAAACAGTCCTGCGAGGGGAGGGGAGGTACACTTTGTAAAACTATATTCTGATCAGCCACAAGAAAATAAAAATGAACACATTTAATTGTTCATGTTCTCTCCATCTGTCTTCTATGCACGCTTCTTCCTTAAACAATATCAGAATGTGAAATTCCGGGCAATAATGCTTTCTGAAGGACTGTAATTTAAATATATTTTCCATACATTTAAGATGTATCATATCTGTTAGCCTACATGTCTTACATGCCACTGGTCGAAGAAAACTTGTGGTATCACAAACATGGTAATGTTGAATGATTTGCAATACTTCTGTTTTTGGATATCATAGTGACTAATCATGAGAGGCCTCTAAGAAATATTTTCCAGATGGGTGTACCACAATTTCCCAACTTGATGCCCTTGAGATATGTTGGACCAATACCCATGGCTTCTCAGCAAGCATAGGTGGGATCATGATAGTTGCTTCAATACATCCTAAAGCATGGGTCCCCAACCCCGTGCAGTGGTGGGCGAAAGCGTGAAGCTCTACTAGTGCAAGCAGCGGGCACATACACCAATCCATCTGCTTCCCACCCCCACCCCCCACCACTGCTGGTCCACAGAGTTGAAAAGGTTGGGGACCACTATCCTAAAGCATTAAGAAGAATCATTTAGCACCTTACATTTAAAGTCCTCTCAAAATTTAACTGGCACAACAAGGCTTCAAACATGATGATGAGCCTTGGTGGCACAGTGGTTAGAGTGCAGTACTGCAGGCTGGCTACTTCTGCTGACTGCCAGCTGCCTGCAATTTGGTAGTTCAAATCTCACCAGGCCCAAGGTTGACTCAGCCTTCCATCCTTCTGAGGTGGGTAAAATGAGGACACAGATTGTTGGGGGCAATATGCTGACTCGGTAAACCACTTAGAGAGGGCTGTAAAGCACTGTATATAAGTCTAAGTGCTATTGCTATTTGTTTTGCCTGAGACCTATTAATCTTTGTAAATAAACCTAGAATCCTTTGCAAAAATAAACTCTCATATTGAATTATTGGCTACAGCTTTCTTAAAAATATTTTTCATTGTATACAGGTCAGTGATGGGTTTCTACCAGTTCGCCCCAGTTTGCGCAAAGCGCGTGTGCGAAGCAAACTGGTTGTTATACCGGTTGAAACCCACCACTGATACAGGTAGTCCTAGACTTACGACCACAATTGAGGCCAAAATTTCCATTGCTAAGCAAGACAGTTGTTGACTTTTTGTCCCATTTTATGATCTTTCTTGTACAGTTGTATAATGAATCACTACATTGGTTAAGTTGTACAATGAATCACTACATTGGTTAAGTTAGTAACACAGCTGCTAAGTGAATCTGGCTTCCTCACTGACTTTCCTTGTCAGAGGGTTGCAAAAGGTGATCGCATAACACTGGAATACTGCAACCGTAATAAATACATGCCAGTTGCTAAGCATATGAGTTTTGATCACATGACCAGGAGGATGCTGCAATGGTCGTGTGAAAAACTGTCATCTTTTTCAGTGTTTCTGGAACTTCAAGTGGTCACTAAACAAATGGTTGTAAGTCAAGAACTACCTGTATTATACATAAAAAGGATTTATAGCATAGCTAATATTAAAAGAAACACAACAATATGCATAAGAAAAACTCTCAGTAATGAACCTCTTTCTCTCTTAAGTCAAACTTGGCTTGAGCCAAGTTTCAAATAGAGGAATGGACTCTGAAAAGAAGAACCAATGAGCATTCAAATTGTTGCTTTATATCAAATGATACCACTAAAAGTCAAGTCACCACTTGTTAGCCAGACATAATTTCCAGCAACTTCCTTTTCCTTTTTTGAAGCCTTGGACAAGCATGAAATATTTGGGAGGGGGCAAATATTTTATTTGCACTGAGATAGGAGAAAAAGACAAGTCTTCCTCTACACCCCCCCCAATTTCTCCAAACTTTGCTGTAAATGAGAAAACACTCAACCATCCTTTCATCCTTTTCCATTAATTAAGAGGGAAGAGGGAAGGAAGGACTTTTCTGCGATGATAAAATGAAGATTATGAATATCTATAAGAATAGTTATGATCAAGGAGAGAGTTATGGAATCCTATTCAACAGCAATTACCATTACTGGAAGCTGTAAAAATCCTGATGTGTGTCTGATCTATACAAATATTTCATTCTAAATTACTTAATGGTATTAGAAGTCAATCCTTATGATTTCCAAATAGTACACTTGATTCTGATTATTCTGATTAATCAAACATCTGCAGAGCAGAAGGATGGAGAAAAAAACAAGGAAAATTGTTAAGGAACAGATAAATTATGTGTACACACACACCATTTTTCATAGATTTTTGTCTTATGCTGAATGTCCCCAACCATCAGAAGTAGTGGAGAGAAAACGATAGAAAGGTCCCTTGAACAATCCTTGAAGGAACAAACATGCTTGGTGCCAGAGCAAACACCCAGGACTGCTCTTGCTTTTTGATTGAGATATTCATCTCAGGCAAGGTACAGTAGGAGATTTTTCCTGTGGATTGAACTTCATTCCATCACAAGGAACAAAACACCCTAGCCTAGATCATCCATGATTATGCATCTCTACATCTGAAAATTTCTCTTCAATTTGATGACATATATTTGTATCTATAGATCAGTTGAAGGGTTTTTTTTTTGTCTGTCTGTAAAGACCTTCATGCCCACCGATCTATTTATCTAAATATCATTTATCACTGTTATTTATCTAAAACTACCTATAGATTTTTCCCCTTTTCTTTCAGGTTTCTCAAGGTGCTTTTGCCTTCAGGTTAGACAAAATGTTTGGGGATAATAGAGATGTTATGCTGGCCCTGTCATGCATCAGCTATAAAGCAATTGGATGCCAATTCAAAAAGAATTTGGTTTTTGGTAAAATTACCCTGGTGAATGGGTATCTAAAACTTGATAATATGGTGAGACAGAGAGACTTCTCCTGGGGGATGGGGGGATTCTACAACCATAAATAAGACATGACCAGAGAAAAGGCCCTATTCTGCACAACCATACTGTGGCTATTCCAACAGGTAGAACTGAAACCAGGGGATCCTTGGTAAGTGTCAATACACAGACCCTTTGATACTAATTGGGGTCAAATTCTTCAGGAATTTATATGGTAATGTCAACACCATAAATTTGACTTAGTTGCTTACTGACAGCCAGTGCAAGTCTGGGATCTACAGATCCTCTGAGGGTGCATGGATAAATTTAACAGAGTTGTAGGTCTTCTACTCCAACCCTCCACCCAAGCAGGAGACCCTACACCACTTCTGACAAATGGCAGTCCAGTCTCTTCTTGAAAGCTTCCAGTGATGAAGCTCCCACAACTTCTGAAGGCAACTTCTGTTCTATTGGTTGATTGTTCTCACTGTCAGAAAATTTCTTCTTGTTTCCAGGTTGAATCTCTCCTTGTTCAGTTTCCATCCATTATTCCTTGTCTGGCCTTTGGGTGCTTTGGGTGCCATGCCGAGTATTTGAAACCATTCATTGTATGTTTTAGCCTCCAGTCCCCTAATCATCTTGGTTGCTCTTCTCTGCACTTTCACTGGGGTTATGAACTTGGATGGGGAAAATATAAATTTATTGTTGTTTTATTTTATGCATTTAAATATATTTATGCATTTAAATATATTTTTCTCAAAAGAGAGCTATACACTTATCAACTTCTCAAATAGGACTATGGTACAAAAAGGTTAAGAATCCCTGCCTTGAGGACTTGTCTTATAGAATCCCATGTGGCTGCCCCTTTAACAATCTGAGAGTTGCATTCTGTACCAGTTAAGCTTTTGGACCACCTTCAAGGGAAGGTCATATTGGTTTAATCCATTCAATCCACCACACTGAGTGAGCCATAAACTAGCCAATCACTTTTTAACCCAGGTTTGTGCATAGCCATCCTCAGTGTTAGTGATAAGGCAACAATTAACACCACAGCATGACTGGGTTCATACAAGGCTA